AAATTATTAGCTACAATAGTGTCGTCAACGTGTGAACTGTGTACTTTAAAGCAATTAGATATTTATGAAGTGAAAACTTTATCTACACATTAGTAAAATTTAAAACGCGAAATATATTAGTCAAAATGTATTTTAACTATGGCCCGACGTGCAGCAGCCGTGGTCACGGGGAGGCAAAACGTCGCAAACCATCCGAAACCAACACCCCCCTCAAAGGGGGGGACGGGGGTATCGCTAAGGCCGTTTTGACCCCCCTCAAAGTTATATCTGCTACGCTAGCGCCACTGTTTCGTCGTAGTTGTAATTTGGAGAAACTATCTGGGCCCTTATAGAACTGACTAACGGTGTCTCTCGCGTCTTGGTATGGGTATACTAGAGTATTTCATGTATTAATCTGTCAAAAGTGTTTTATTTAAATCTGTCTAGGTACTGGTACTACTCTTCTTTAGCGTTGTGGAGTGGAGTGTTTTGTTGTTGTAGCTTTTCTAAATCTGAACTGCCATCAGGGCACAACGCAATCAACCATTCGTAGGACGGAGGAAGAGTAGACAATATATCGTCTTGTTTGAGTGCGATAGCGCAATAAATGAATATTGTACACATAAGTACAACTTTCACACTAAATATTAAAGGAATTCGTGATAAAATTGTGGTCAAGGACCATTCGTTAATATTTAAGTTATCTCTTCTACCGACACGAAGCCAGTGCAACCGGCAATTTTATTATTTATCTTTTTTGTTGATCCAGTTCCCAAAGTGGATTATTTATTATGTTGTTTATTTTTTATTATTATTAACTTGTGACTCGAACGAAATTATTTTTTTTCTACAACCCATCTAATAACCAGATTTCCATTGTTGGACCCGGTAGGAGTCGACCCCACCCCCTTTTATTATCAGCCATACGTTGCCATCATTACACTAATATCACATCATCTATAACAGTTCACCACGTGGGACTCGACACACCTAATCGCATGTAGTAAAACATTTGATTCTAAGACATACTGACTACCTCGAGAAGTAAAAAAAAGTATATAGTTTGCAAATATAAAATAAAGGCATTACTGAGGATCGAACCACAACCTCACGAACGTGAACAGAGGTATGTTGAAATATTAAACAATATGTAACGATAATTTGTATTGTTTTTACTAGTATGTTAGCATACACTATGTAATTGTTGACTGAAGTATGCAACTAGGAAAAACAATATATTATCTCTATTATGTTAAACCAAATAAAGTTACAAACTAGTATGTCTGTAGTTAACGCGATTAAAACACTTTAAAAGGTGTAGTTTTCACATTGACTTTGGATACCCTCCATCTTTAGTCTCGTAACCACGTCTGCATGCGAAAGTCTTTTATTTAGAAAAACATAAGCTTATTTTTTGATAATAGAACAGGACAGACAAGCAAGAGCTTACTTGATGGTAGATGATATACCTCAGTCTATAGCATCTTAACAGGATACCCTGTCGACCTATTTTGTCTTTGGATATTCGGAAATCTACAGACTTAAGCAAAACGCGATGAACATGAAGGACCTGGTGGGGATCGAACTCGCGACCCGTTGATTATTAGCCATACATTCAATTTTGACTAATGTTTGATAATTGTGGCAAAATCTTTGCCTCTTCTTCTTTGTAGTTTAATTTTTGATAAATTGTTATCAAAATTCTACAATAGCGCAGCTCAATTCGATTCAACTTTTGTAAACAAAGAAAACAACATATTAATGCTCATTTGATACTTTGTAGGCTCGTCTTGAGGTCACGGTGCTAGTCTGCGCGGTCGATGGAAATTTCCTTCTATTTTCGTATCTCATTCCTTGGACGAAGTTTGAAACACATGGTTATTAAAATTATGTAAAGCTTCGATGGACGCAATCACTATTAATAAATATAAATCTACCTAAGTTCACCTTTGAAAGCAAATTATTTATTTAAAAAGAAATAAATTAATTTACATGTTTTTTTTTGTGAATTGTTGCTTTTTTACTTTAAAAATTTCATCTGAAATGCATTCAGATTTTTTTATTAATACTACTTATATTATATACATATACCTACAATGTAATTTCACACTTATACAAACTAACTGTTTATAACACTAAAAAGCTAAGATATAACAATAACTCTAACTATCTATGTATACCTAAACATAAAAAAAGCAATTGTTATAGAATAAAAAAATTGTTTGGAATAATTGAACAAAATCAAATACATATTTAGCAAAGTTTTTGTTCTATATTTAAATAAACAAATATTGTTATGTTCCTACATTTATTTCGTTTTTGTAAACACATAAAGGACGTACGGATGTATTTGAATGAGAAATGAATATTTTATATAATAAAACGCTCTATATTAAAATATTTATTATAAAACAATGTTGTAGGTGTTCCGCCATAACAAAACTTAAAATTCTTCGTACCTCGACACTTTCACTCGCAGACCGCGGCATTCCTTTTTTGAACAATTGGATCAAAAATATTTCCATTAAATCTTCCATTATGTTGGTAACGTAGTAATGTTGGTACTTATGGTAGTTTTTATAAACTGGCAACTTTTGAATAGTATATTTTCTATAAAATATTATATACATTATGTGTAAGTATACAAATTAATAATATGCTGGATATAAAATTTAATTTTTTATCTCAGTTTAATAATGATAGAGATAGCAGTCACATTATTAACAAGATTTCTTATATCATATAAACCAGGTTTTCCGCTTTTCTCTACACTATTGTCAGGAATACACAGATCTTATATATAGGCCATATAAACCAGTATTTATTTTTATATATATATACATATATATATATTGTCATTTATTTCCTTTTGCCGTAACTTTAAAACAAAAATCGTACTCCAGTTTAAGTCTTAACAAACTGAACTACCGGCCCTTGAAGTAATGGCCATGATTCGTTGGAATCGTGGACCTAACGGATTATAATTTATAGCAGTTATATTTTGGACGTTGCACTTTACGGTCAGGTAGAAACTAGAGAATCGACAAAATATTTAATGTCCGTTTAAACTGAATGAATGTATGGTATTTTGAGATATGAGTTTAGTTTTTTTTTTTTTTGTTCATTGTGTATTTATTTGTTTTTCCTTTTTGCCCTTTATTGCACAATGAATCAAATTGAAAAGAATAAATCGAGATGTGCAACGTGGGCGAATTCAACGCACTCCTTATTTATTCTTTATTTGATATCTCTTCTTTCTTCTTTCTTATGTGTAGTCTACTGTTATTTTATGTAGAACCTAACTATGACTAAGTAAACTAACTAATCTACTTAATTACTTATCCTTAAAATGATTCAAAATATTTTATGACATGGGCGGGAATTGAACCGGCTTCCACAACGGTCCGGGCCGTTTTCAACCAATTGAACTAATATTATGATTTTAATAAACCAAAGATATATAATAAACAAGAAACGAAGTAAGAAACCAAGGATTTACGTTAATATTTATAATAGCATTTAAAAAATAAAATTAATATAAATTATTGCCATTTTTTTTAGTTTTTCAATCTAAGAAGTTACAATTGTAAACCGCGTCTATTTACCTTTGTGTAACGTTTACTTAGAAAACTTGTTACATTGCGTCATATATTGATAGGTATGTCTGTTTGTCTGTTGCTATCCGCGATGAACCAACGTACATCGCGGATTTAGCAGTCTTCTACACTTGTTACATCTTTGAGTAAATACTTGCATCAATGTTACTTGATGACATACACATAATCTAAGTACGCGGCGAATTGGGAAGCTTAAGAACGACAATTCTTACTTACGGTTGGTGCACAAAGTTTGGTGCTTACTTCGATGTAGTACTTAAAATTAAGAAATAAAATGTCAGTTGTTTTCAAAAGATATAGCAAAAAATGGCTAAGAATAAGCAAAAATGTGCAAAACTTAAAAAAAAAGCAACTGCTGAAGAAAACATTGACTATTGATCAAATATTTTATCGGTCGTCAAAAAAACACAAACATCATTTACGTTTAAGAAATACTTTTTTCCGTTGAAACACTAATTAGAACATTTGCCTTGCCAATTAAAAGTTGATTTTTTATTAACCAATTTAATCGAGTGAAATTTTTAATACACAGAAAAGCTAGAAAGTCTCATTAAGATTGTGCAGATTGGCCTTAATTGGAGGGTGTTTTAATATTAAATAATAAAAAAATCGAATCGTAAACTTAAGATATGGTTTGTAAGTTAATCATTGTAAATTGTCACTCAAAAACATTATCGCCAAAGTTTTTTAATAGTATAGATAAGACTTATAGTATCTGGGATCCAATTCCGTTCTCAACATGTTGCTAATTTCGCTCTTAGTACCTTATTAAAACAAAACAGTTTTAAACCCGGAATGTATTATTTAAACTTACGTACAAATGTGTGTACTGACTTGAACAGACTACTGTTTTAATTCTACTACCACAATCACTATGGCAGACTAGATTTGTACAAATGTTTATTAATGTTAAATAACATTATATTACAGTTTATTCAATTAAATATTTTCTAACGGATCGAAGCAAACTGTATTAGTGACCCCTGTTAATGGCTGTTGTAAAAAAATCAAATAGTCGCGGCGAAGTAAAAGAATGTCAAGATGATTGTGGAGTTAAATTATATTTTTTTGCAGTTACTAATTTGCGTTTTAAACCGATAAATGCGTTTTATGAAATATGAAATGAAATGCATCGGCAGATGGAATTAGCTACAGATAATAACTGTCAACAGCTCTGGCACTAGACCACAGACAATCCTAACTGTCAACGATTTGTCATGTACACCATCTAAGTATCTGACCTTGACATTGACCGGGCGACAAGCAAAGTTTTTGTTTACTTTTTGGTACAGTGTTTAGTACTTGGATGAAGTCATTACGTCTTGTACTTGCAGTAGATATTATTGCTTACCGTTACACCAAAGTTTGTTTTATTTAGGCTGGAATATTTTTACAGATAATAACATGACGGAGGAGTCCCAAGTTCGCGCCTTTTACACAGGCAAGAATTTCTTCATCACTGGAGGTACGGGCTTCGTAGGATTATGCCTTATTGAAAAGATCCTGCGATGTATACCCGACGCAGGAAAGATTTACTTGCTGATGCGCCCCAAGAAAGGCAAGGAAATCGCGGAGAGGTTGAACGAGTTTCCCGGCCATCCGGTAAGTCAAAAGTAATAAAAATACTGTTGTAACTTGTAAGCTTGGTAAGCGTAGGGAAAATAAGTTAACGTATATTTTTCGCGTTTTAAAGAGTTCAATTTGTTTTATTAAAATCCTGTAATACAATAAAAAAATATGCAACATAAACGGATAATACTGTTTATGTTGCATTCTATTTCTAGTCTATTTAATTTTTTGTATGGACTTTATATTTGAACTTTATGTATCACAGAAATCTTCATAATAAAAGTTTAGTTTAGACTGAATACATGTGAAGACATCCACCAGAATAATAATTATATTTATTTTATTAACTGGTATTTTTTTTTGGTGTTTGCTGTTTTCCGTTCATTTAAATATATCATTTTTGACAATCTAAAAAACAATCTTCCTTAACAATTAACATTTTTCCTTATCATAAAAATGCAAACACAACCTTAAAGTAACATCTATATTCTTTACCATTTATGTATTTATGCATCTTAACTATCACATACACAATTACTATTTTTAATCTTGTATATCTATTTGTGAATAGTGTGTAAATCATTATTAGCCATCTAGGACAGCCCTATTTTTTTATAATATAGTGGAGGTCATTTCTTACTACTTTTGCTTTAAAATGCCTTTTATAGTTCCTCTAAGTATTATTATCTGTTAAATGGTCGGAATGGTAATAATCAGAGTTATTAAATAAATTGCAACTACTTTGTACAATCTTGAATAGGGTCGCTCAAAAAATGGTCTCTTAATCTATATTTACAGAATTATGGTACACTTGCGTTTACCTATAGAAAATCACATCTATAAACTTAAATGAGAGTCAAAAAATTACTTAACAGAGTTTCTTTATTTTTTGTACACAGTTGCTTAAAATTAAGCATGAATTAAATAAACTAACTGATTATCCATAAAAAGCCAACTGGATAATTTTTTATTGCTATTAGACCAGTGCAACATGATTTTTTAAGCACTTTAAAACATGAATTTGCAGAAATATATATCAAGTACCAGGGGAATAACTTTTTTTATATAATTAAGAATAAATAAAAATCAATTATAGGTCTTTGAAAAACTACTAGAAAACCAAACGAAAGAAATTTTCAACAAACTGGTACCAATATCTGGTGATGTTGGTGCTGAAGATCTTGGCTTATCTCCAGAAGATCGCGAAATACTTATAGAAAATGTGAATGTCGTGATACACTCTGCGGCAACACTGGACTTTGAGGAGGGTTTGAAGCCAACGGTTAAAATCAACGTACTTGGAACAAGAAGAGTTCTGGAACTATGCAGACAGGTTAAGGAACTGAAGGTTGGTTATAAGCTTACAAACTGCAAGAGTGCTTCAAGGCTTATAGATTCCTATATGTCCACATTTTTTTTTATTGAATACTTCTTTATTTAAACAGTCAACCCAACAACAACAATGGTACAAATTATTTATCTCAGTTTTCTGCACTTGTTTAAATAAAACACTTTAACGGTTTAAAACGCGACATAATAGTTAAACTTATTTGAAAATGATCTTTAACTTCGGCCCGACGTTTCGGATGCTCTGCAGCATCCGTGGTCACGGGGGGCCAGGGACAGTCGGAGACAGTCGTCGGGCCGAAGTTAAAAATCATTATCAAATAAGTTTAACTAATATACCGCGTTTTAAACCGTTAAAGTGTTTTATTTAAATGTGTAATACTCGCGCAAACTATAGACAGTATTTACACTTTATTTAACCCATAGAGATTGTTTAAATGTTTCCCAAAATGTGCTTGATTTTATAAGTAGCTAACACACATATATATAAAAATGAACTAGTTTCTTGGTTAATCTATAACAATAGTGATCAAATACTAGTTGCATACAACTGGGCAAAGTCTAGTACTCAAACCTAGAGGCTTTAAATAACCCATCCCTAATGATACATACATTTCAGGTAATGGTACATGTGTCGTCGGCTTATGTTAATGCTTTCCTGAACGAGGCTGAAGAAAAAGTGTATGAAACGCCAGGAGATGTTAACAGTGTTATCAATCTTGTCAATCGGCTATCTGACGAAGCCTTGGAAGATATGGAGAAAACGTGAGTTGTTTTTAGTTTACGCCAGTAATAGACAGTTTAAATAAAACTCTTAAATTCATCCGAAATATTAGTGTCGCTGTAAATAAATGAACTTATATATTATGCGTTTAAAACCGTTAAGAGTGTTTTATTTAAATATGAGTTGTTTTAATTATTAGATTTTTCACAACAATGATTATAACATCCCCGATCTCCTTATTAAATTTAAACCACAACATAGAAAAACATAAATGAATAATACGCCCCTCTTTGGCTCAAAAATTAAGTGCATTGCGTTAAGCGCGCAAGGGTCTAAGTTCGAATTCCGGAGAGGCAATAGTTTCGGTCAGATATGACACAGAAGTCTGATCAACTACTTGCTTCTAAATAAGAGCGATCAGTGAAACAGATCTGTGTATGCCCTATGACCCACACAGGGGAATCGAGATTTATCTATAATATAAAATCTAAACCCTTATTTAAATTATATATTTATCTGCTCTTGTTAAAATTCTTAATTTCATAGGATTCTTCGAGGTCACCCAAATACTTATACATTCACGAAGCACTTAGCTGAACACGAGGTGAAGAACTCATCAAATCTGTTTCCATGCACCATTGTCAGACCATCAATGAGTAAGTTCCCATATTACAATGAATTTAATTACCATTTAACTCGTTTTGTTTTTTCTTTGTTAAAGCTCTTATGATTCTTAATGAAATATGCATTTTTAATTATCAATTTACATAATTAGGTGAAGCTACTTCGGTTCCATCATTAGGATAAGTTGAGCGTCCCGCGACGTCATCCATTCTAAACGACGAGAACCATTTTGCAATTACGACTAAAATACTACTTAGGTATACAATTTATAAAAATGTGGTATTTTCTTATTAGATATATGGACATCCAATTAAAAGTTTCTACAAATAAACGATAAATAACCTATGTAAAATGGCTGCGAACTGAACTTGTTTTAATGCTATAAAAGAAACTTTAAATAGTATAAACATGGCAAGAGAAGTTTTAATTCTAACGATGAAAAAAATAGCTCGCATAAGAAATATCACAAATGTTTTTAGGGTCATCATTTTAAAATTCTTTAAATCATTAATACAACTTTTTTATTGATACATACCACAAAATCTACAAGAGATAAAAACTTATGTATTAACTTATAAATAAAAGGCGACCTTATCGCAAGCAGCGATCTCCTCCATGCAACTTGAATTAATAAAGTTTAGATAAATTAATTAATTAATAGTCGTTTAATCAAATACTGCACGTTGTATAAGATGTGTGATGTAATTGATAAAACGTGCTTGCTTTCAGTCGTAGCGTCTTGGAAGGAGCCAGTGGTGGGGTGGACTTGTTCTAAAGTTGGACCCCAAGGCTTCCTTATGGGTGCTGCAAAAGGTTAGTCTTTTATCTGAAAAGCTACTAATTATTATACTACTGAACTATTTAACGCTTTAGATGGAATATGGAATCCAATCCAAGCGGCTGGGTGATCAATCGAATCCCCGTCTATGGATGGCCCCGAAATAAAGTAATAATAATTGAACGCTTATTGTGTGATACTAGAGAACAGAAAAGTTTAAACAACATGTGTTGTCGACCTATTTGGGCTGTGGATACTGAGAAATCCATAATCGAAGCAGATCGTATTCACGTTTATCAGCTACGAACGGTGGTTTGGAAAGAATATCGATATTACTAGCATTTATTTAATGGCGACGTTTTCTGGGTGGACAAATGCTGACAAAATGGGTCGATAGCGCATCTTGTTGAGATGTAATATGGCTGGGGAATTTCTTCTTCCATCAAGTGGACACCATGCTTATATGTCCTCTATCATGAAAAAAGTAAGAAGAAGAAGAAAAAAATTGATTGACTACTAAGGCACACAAAAACATATGTTACACTTAAATAATGTCTATAGATTACGCGAGCTAAAGTGTTTTATTTAAATGTGTACTACATTTAAATAAAACACTTTAACGGTTTAAAACGCGATATATTAGTTAAACTTATTTGAAAAATCTATTAGAAATTATGTTAAAAATCATTTTCAAATAAGTTTAACTAATATATCGCGTTTTAAACCGTTAAAGTGTTTTATTTAAATATGTTACACTTATTACTAATACATAAAAAACAAAACATAATTTTATCTTAACAGTATAACGTAATATTAATAGGATTTTACCCAGTTTATATATGCCCTTTGTTGACCTGAGACTGATTTTCAGTTAGTCCTTAGAGTGTACTTAGTAAAAACGGACCGTCTACCCGATAGCTATTAGCAAAAGAAAACGAACATGTCGAAATTAATAAAATTCGTTTATTTATAAGCTTGTATACTTAGCATAACTTATGTAAAATACATTTATGCCTATAGGTGTAGTTCGTCGTCTCCCGCTGTCTAAAGAGAACATAGCCGATTATATCCCGGTTGATATTGTCATCAACCAACTACTTGTGGCAGGGTGGCACGCAGCTAAGCAAGAGTAAGTTTACTTACTAGCTTTTTCCAATAGGTGCTATAAAAATATTATGTTGAAATAAAACACTTTTAACGGTTAGAAACGTGTAATGTATAAGATAATTTATTTTAACCACGGCCAAATGTTTCGGATGCTTTACGGCAGCCGTGGTCCCGGAAGACGTAGTTAAAATAAGTTAACTAATATATTTCGCGACTTGAACCATTAAAAGAGCTATATATAAAATTCTACTACCACTCTACTACATATATTAATTAACTCTTGGGGCACAAGAAGTACAAATTGCGTCTGTGCGGTTTGACGGGTTACGACTACCACTACAAAATGTGTGATAACCAAGACCCACGGCTTAACATATGTAAGGACACAGATGGTGATAATACCTGCTTTCACACACCAGGTGGGTGACCAGAAGTTTTGTGGGTAAAATTCCATCCGAACCAGGTTTTGAACCCAGAACCTCGTGATCTGCATATTATTCACTAGATCAACGACCTTATATAATCATTTTATATCTTCAGGTCTGGTTTAACGGTATACCACTGCACCTCGTCCACACAGAACCCTTTCCGTTGGAACATGCTGGACTCCGTCGTCAACGAGATGTTGCATAACTACCCTCTCAAAAGCGCAGTCTGGTACGTCTAATTACACTTATGTAACCTTACAATTCTCATAAAAACAATTGAATTTCGTTAATATTATCTACTTTAAAATAAAAATAGTTTTAAAGTGTTTCTTAATTTTAAATTAATTTTATTAAAATACAATTTTCTCTTCCTAAGTTTTACTTATGTAACATTAGTCTACGCGTAATATAACTAAAAATACAGTGTAAACTCCATGTAACATCACTCTATTTAACGACAAACCCTCTTAGGGGGGGAAAATTTTTGGGTTTTGGGGGTTTTGGGTTTTTTTTCACACAATTTTCCCCCCCCCCCCCCCCCCCCCCCCCCCCCCCCCCCCCCAAAAAACCCCCCCCCCCTGTGTTTTTTTTTTTTTTTTTTTTTCTCTATTTATATATTTTATTGAATTATAGTTTCAAATATTAAAATTCATTTACATCTTAACTTTAAACGGTTTGATACGAGAAATATATGAATCTCATTTTTAATTTACTTATAATAATTGATTCTGTGTAATTTTCAGGTACCCCCATTTACAATTCGTACCATCGCTGTTCCTGTTTCGTATATCCGCCATTTTCGTTCACTTCTTCCCCGCCATTTTGCTAGATATGCTCTTGAGAATTACCGGCGGCAGGCCTATGTAAGAATTTGTTTATTAACATCAATATAAATCTATTATGTATTATTAAATAATAAAAGTTTTAATTATTTTAATTTAATTTTACAAGAATTTAATCTAAGTTAGCTTAACATATTTCTTTATTACTTCAGATTATTTCGCCTGCATAAAAATGTCTGGAATTCACTAGGAAGGCTGGAACGTTTTATATTCTCTGAATGGCGATTCCATAACCCTAATACTCGTGAACTGGCAACACAGTTGAACAAAGTCGACGAGGATATGTTCTATATTAACATTAGTACTATTTATGTAAGTACTATTCATACTTTATAAATTAGTAGAATACTTAAAAATGTAAGAACTAAGCTTTAGAAATGTTGGTCCTTCGAGCCAGACTTACAGGATAGGAAGGAAGTGGTAAATGTTCATGTATTTCGTTTAATATATAGATAGGTGATTGCATATAGATTTTCAATTTAGATTTTGTTTTTCTGTTGCAGTGGGTGGAATACTTCGTTAATCTCCATCTTGGTGTGAGGAAGTATTTGAACAAGGAGAGTGAGAAAACTATACCTGCTGCCAAGACTAAGGATATAATGTAAGATCATTTAGATTTCATAGACATTATTGAAGAAATACTTTTGGTTTTTATTTAAAGTTTAATTATACTGACAAGTATTCAAGTAACAATGTTAATTTTTTTTATTTAAATATTATTGAAATAGTAGCTCATAATTTCATTGCTACACCCACACCTTGGGACGCTGTGGTCTTGGGTTCAAGTCCCACCTGTCTCGTCGAATTTTTAAATTCTTACAATCATATACATACTATCTAGTATCTCTAAATATATGTTATTATATATTTCCCTTTTCAGATTAAGGTTCGCTCATATTGCTTGGCAGACTATGATTATAACGCTCCTGTGGTACATTTTCTCTGCGTTATTCGGATTCACAATGCTACAGTGCTTCTGGGCGCCCCCTATTATCTATTACTTGTATACACTCCTTTAATGAGATAAGTGCACGTTAGTTATATAGATGTATATGTACGTGGTCGTGTTCATAACAAAACCTATAGAATCTACGAACGTAGGAAATGCCCAATGCTCTAAGTGTATTAGGCCAATGGTGGACTTCTAAAGTTTGGTTTTCTGGTACACATCACTAACATTTGAATGTTTACAATAATGTACAAAAAAATATGTTTGATGCTAGTTTTTTTTTTTAATTAGAAACAAATTAGTTTGTTGTAAATTAAAGATATTTTCAAATGGCCAAAAGTGGTGTATTTAAAGTATCCACCCACCCCGTGACATAAAGAAAAAACTACTGCTAAAGTATATGTTTATGTTAATAGTAGATAAAACTTACTATTGGCAGAATGCATACATGAAAATCAACATTTTTAACGGTTTAAACCGCTAGTTAACTTATATTTGAGCTGCCGTAGTCAACAGCCACGGCTGCTGCGAAGCTCCGATGTCGATTCGTAGTTAAACATTATTCAACGTAAACCTTAAATTTTTAAATATCATCTTGTCATCTTTGTGCGACTTTATAACATTATTGGTAACTAGTTTTAAGTGTTATCTATTACTTAGTACAATTTTATACGAATTCTACACTCATACTTTTCGATGAAATTACACTGATATTTAGGTTAAAGTATCTTTTCTAAAATATGTTATATTCCTTTCTGCTTGTTTTTAGATTAATTTCGTGTTTAGATCTTATCTCCGTCCTTTAGCTAAATGCCAATTCCAGAATTTAAGATGGGTGATCATTGATATTGCAGACAAAATGTAAAATTATCGAAAACTATGATGTTTTAAAGCGTAACATAATCTACATAAGTCTGTGTTTCAAACTACCCTCATCTTAACTTGATAAAGACATCTATAATCTGGCTTAGTTTTATTAATCATATTGGTGGATGTCATGTCATTGGACTAAGTATTAAAATGTGATTTATAAATTATAGTTTTATTTTCCTATTAAAATTTGCACATTCAATCCAAATCTTTCATTCCACACACAATTACAATAAAGTATATTTTGGATTGGATTAGATTCTGGTTTTTCACATAGATTTCTACACCAAATATTAAAATCCAACTAAATAAAATTGTAATTGAATTCAATTAAAAAGGTAGATAACGCAGGGTCTTAGAAATAAAAAACTATTAATGCAAGTGTTTAAGATTAAATTAAATTCCAACTGCTCACAACTCACGACCATTTCCCTGGCAGGGTGCAATGCAAAACGTCCTGGATTCGAATCCCGCGAAGCATGGTTCAGAGGTCAGAAACTACCGACCGCCCATTTACAAAACAACCTGTAGCACAAGAGTGATATAGAGCTACAAAAGTGAATAATGAATTTTCGACCAAAATTATTACACTCGAAAGGTAAAAAGATATATTTGGGGCATTGAGAATGTTTCTGATAAAAAAAAAAAACATCTGATCCATTTCTTCGATAAATACTAAAGCCTCTTCTCGAAAGAGCCTTTTTGACCCCGCGAAACCGCTACTGTTAAAAATTACCGCGCGCCCGCGTGAAGGTTAATGATAAAACAAAAACTTTGTACTATCCTTTAATTGGTGGCCATTGTAAATGCACTTCCGTCACATCTAAGGCTAGTAAGTCTACGTCAGCGCTCAGTGCGTGCGAGAGGGACGGATATGTTCTCGATAGTTCGCCGTGCACCCATTCTTTGACGTATGTGCCCGCTGACGTTTGTATTCTAAGGAGGAATAACTGGGGGTGCCCTGGAAAGAAAATCAAATTTTAGTCCAATAATTCTATGATGGTAGTCGTTGTATTCGTAATTTCGTAAGCCAATAAATCGGTCAAGTATGAATAGGAACGTCAAACGAAAGGTTTCGTCTAATAACACTGTTATACTAATAACATGTTGGACTTTGTCTGGAAATCTGGATACAAAACGTGTTAGGCTTCCGTTTGGGTCACGAACCACCGGCCACAGATGAAAGCGTAGTAAGCGCGTTTCAGTTTCAGTCTGAAGATTTCCGAATATCCAAAGACAAAATAGGTCGTCATCGCACCTTGTTTAAATGTTATATGGCTGGGGGGTATTATATCTCCCCCTAAAAAATTTGTTTGTGTGTTGTTGTCTTATATGTATTTTTCCCCCTTGAGATACAGTAGAACCTCTATAAGTCGAACATCAAGGGAGACGCCTAAAAATTTGAGTTATCGAGTTTTCGATTTAGAGAGAATTTCGACTTAGGCGGATTTTCATTCGACATAAGGGGTTGAGATTCATTCTATAAATTTTCAGTAAGAGAGCTAAAATACGTTTCGCAGCACTTATGTTTACAACATTATTTGTAAACTGATGTATGAATTGATATTTATTGCAGTAGAACCAAACTACTTCTGACAACATTGCACTCAAAATCAGGTTTTTGGCTTATCGAGGTTCGACTTAACGAAGTTCTATTGTCATTCAAGAGTTCAATGCTCACCAGGCAAGGTCTTCGCTGTTATATCCAAAATTTGCCTCGTTCGGGTGAGTAAAGGCCTTCTATGCAGCACTCGTATGGGTGTCTTCTGGGTTATGTTCACTCTGACTGGGTCCGTTGGCTCCGTATTTCTGTATGTGTTTATGAAATCTATATCTTCTTGAGTCACTTTGACTTCGCCTGATGTTTCCTTGAAATTAACTTTAATTATTAATTAGTTATTAATGACAAGTCAATTTAAGGATATGATCTTTAGATGTTCACGCGTTCCTCGACTAAGCCAGGACGGACGGTACAGGAACTTCTCATTTAGGATGGCCTAACAGCTAGAAAATTCTAGAAGCTTTTACAGATCCTTAATATCATTTTTAATTTACTATAAAATATATGTAAATCTAAGAATTATGTTTTCTAAGGAAGAGTGCAATAATTTTTAGGATAAAATTAATATTAACCGTAAGGAAGCTTACAAATATATGCACAATACAATAAAATATATGTAGATTTTGTCATACCTTATCAAATTTAGAATGTGTTAACTTTATGCAAAGCGCTTCATAGGTCTTGCATTTCGTTTCTTCGCCTTTCTTTAGCTGAATTAAGTCATCTCTGGAAATAAACAAATGTTAGTATATGTAATATTAAATACATATTAAAATTTAGTAAAATATTTAAGTTCTTTGATCAATGGGAAAAAATAATATTATTGGTTTGTTATTGAAAACTCTAAGCTTACTTTGTAAGATATGAAAACGATTTGACAACTACATCTCCGCTTGTGGATATTTCTGCGCACGCGCATTGCAGCTCTTCGTTGGTTAATTGCCTTATAGGATCCGAAATCTATAATCATAAGAATTCTTTATCAATAAACACAATGTCCTATAGAATAGATATAGGATATTTATAAACAACAGTACAAACTATAAAAATCATCAATATTGATCTTAAGAGGATTATAAATGCCATGAATTTAAAACGTTGTAACATGCGAAACATATTTCATATTCAGGACTATAGAAATGATTTGCATGTTTTGAAGTATTAGAAAAATAAGCTAATTTAACGCTGTGTCTTGTCATGTGTCATGTCTTGTTTAGTCTTGTCGTGACTTTACTTATTAATTGCCCCAAAATGTAAATGTATAAAATTTAACTTGTCCCAATTGGATTACAAACCTCTATAGCAAATGGCCGCCCATCTCCAAGGCATCTGACATCAACATCTTCTCGACCGGCTGATATGAACTTCAGTCGAGTTTCTACATCACCATCTGAGAATCTAAGCAATAAAAGAATATAAATAATACACATCAAGGTAATAGGCGCTTGCAGTAATCAACCTTCATTCTAAGGAATGTGTTCTATTGTATGTAGTAAGTAAGAAGCGAGAAATCACAGGTTTTCTTGCGTTTTTGTAATAAGACATGGTTAAAGTAATCAGACAACCGTTATACCTACTTGAAAATTTTAGCTAATGGTTTAAATATAATTTCCTCTACTGAATTTGGTAGCACTCTCTGCTTCTTTAATATCCATGGCGTTTGTGGTAGGTTTCTGCTTAATTTGATATACCTATAAAAAATCAATGTAAGTTTTAGTAAAAAACAATTTTGCTTAATAACAGCATTTTACATGAAACATATCTTATTGCTGTTATTATTATAAATGAATATAAACATGTTTGTTATGTCAAAAAGTTACATAAAAAATTAATGAATATAATAAAAAGAACTAGATACCTCCCACCCAAATAAGCCGGTGCGTGGGCGCACACAACGCTAACGCATTGCGCATGTCCATGTGCATCCATTTGGACTCCAGAGGACATAAGCGTTTCGAGTTTTACGTCTTCTAATGCCTGTTGAAAAAAGACTCAGTGTTATACATAGTTCTAACATTCTTGGGTACTGCCTGGGGTCGAAAACCACTTAGTCTTTTAAAAATAATACATAATATACATGCTAAATAATAAAAAAAAATTACGGTTTTGAGTTTCCCCTGATTTAATTTAATCAACAACTGTATTAATCAACAAAATATTACCTGTTCCACGGATTGCCTTGTGAATTCGGTGGGAAATCTTCTCTTATATCTGTTTCTATTTTCAAAGAGGATGGGCGACACTTTTTTAAGAACTTCTAACTCCTGAAATATAGACATTGAAAAATGCTAAGTATATATAAGGAAACTTAATATGTCATCAAATATAAATCATGAGTCAAGTAAAGATAAAACTACTTTTTCCTGGAATATATATAAATAATTTAAGTACCTGTAAATCATCAGGGTAATCAAGATGTACCATGATTAGCAGAGGAGAGTCAATGTCAAATGATTTATCAATGTATTCACTGACTTTCTGTCTGAAAGACATTTTCCAAGCATCTTTTAACTGTGTGTAAATATCTGAAAAAAAAAACAAGAAATTCCTGAAGCCTTTAAAAAATATAGATAGATATTATGGTCATGTGTGATGCAGGTTTGAAACCTGTGTTTATTGTAGATTAATATAATTATATATTAATCATGTGCAATAAAGTTAAAATAATGATAAACTTCATATTAATAATAACAAGAATTACTTACTTGGATCATAGTCGGAGAAAGCTTCAGCTATTTTTAGAGTAATAACTTTTTCACGGAGAATAGTTGATATCGGAGCAGAGAGACCACAAGTGTATGTTTTACACTCATAACTGGAATATCAAATAAAACACTAAGCTTGCAATAACTTGCCAAAACTCAAAAACCATAGAAAATAAAAATAACAACAAAGTAATCTAAATCTAATTAATAAAGTTCTTACCCTTTCTTCACAAGAGCCTCTTTAATTTTTGCAAAGGTATCATCCCAAAATGAATCTTGCAACACCCCAAGGCAACTGACACAAACATCTAACTTGAGTTTCTTACTTGGTGGCATACTGTCGCTTAAATCTATTGAAGGTTGGACTGGATTTGATTTGTCTTTAGTTGTAGTGCCATTACTCTCCATATTTTCCATAGATTTACTGGCAATGTTAGCAGTACAGTGATTTGATCCATCTACATCCATTTTATCAGTAGTACTTCCAGATATTTCTTCAAGTTCAGGATCATTTTGAATTTTACTTCCTGATTCAAGTGGCTTAACAATGTCTGTTTCCGTATCTGTTTCTAAGTTACTACGTATTTGAGCACTATCTGGAACGATTGTTTCTTGAAACTAAAATATAAATAGGTGGTATTAAACAGGTTTACATCGGTTATTCTGTTTGTGTTTTCGAAAATGGAAAAACATTAAAATTACTTGCTAGAAATGCTCTACCAAACAAATTATTTAAGTTCTAAAACCATCGATCGTGAGTTATGTATTTTATCATCAATTATCATTCATCTTTAAAAAATAAACGTAAAAACAAACCTTTTCGGCGGCGGTCTTTACATTTTCGTAAACACTACTTTTCTTGTTGCCCATGTACCGAAAACAACACGAGTCACAGCAGCCAAGGCTTTTGCAAAATTTAAACAATAGTTTGTCGTCCATTGCGAGTTTTACGAACCTTAATAAATTATTAAATTTATATACGATACACAAACAATGATTAAATTTGAGGTTAGATTAGAGCATAGATTATAACTATTAGTCAATTTGAGAGTGACAGATGACATTTATTGTACTCTGTGGACACTCTGTTTGTGTTTTCCTGTTCTAATGTTTTCAAAATATTACTACTTGTAAGTTAAGTTTGTTGGAAACATTATTTGTTAATGATCTGAATTTTTATTATTTTTTTGGTTTCTACAATGGATTCAACTTCAGCCCTTCCAAAAAGTTTGGAGAGCACTGTACAAGCAGCGCATTTTGTTCATAAATACCTACGAGCACGCAAAAGTAGTTGAACGTGTTGTAACTTTTTCGAGTTTGTCTTTACGCTTTCTCATTGAACAAGCGTAATAAAAATATTATTAAAGATGTAGTATAAAAATATCGACTATAAATATTATTAGTGACGACCACCTCTTTAGCGCAGTCACTATTACGCCGAAGAGGTGGTTTCGCTATATATAATAGCATCGCTAAAGTATGACGGGTACTGGATTCGAATTCCGAGAATTTTTCTACCATTCTACTTCGGATTATGGCCGGTTTATCCGGGTTTTAGTACCATATCGACCACAATAAAAATGTTAACTTTTATTACTGTGGTATTTTCGATGTTAAAATAAATTATATTTCTGTTTTCATATTTTATTCAAGAAGCTGTTTTATTGCCCGTAGTAGAGTTGCCAGATCCTTCATCACCTGTAACTGTAAATAAGTAATTTAGCTTAAGTACATAATATGTCCATCTACTTAGGCCTGAGGGTACATTGCTACCATTAAACCAATAAGATCGTAAAATTCTTTGGTCTGTTAGATATTATAAATACGTTTATAGTATTAACATCGATCTATTTATAAAGATTATGAGTATCTACGTTCTTTAACATACAATTTTAAGAAGCAAGAACCGATCCTACCCGTGACTCCTACAGAAGTTTCCTGCTTTGGCACATGGCTTGTACTTATTTTTGTTTTATTCATCGGTTTCCAGGCGCTGTAAAAAAGGTAAGTATGTATTTAATTTGATTTGGTAGCACACATACGATATAAACAATAAAAAAGGTAAAATAGCGTTAGGTATAACAACCAAATAATATTTCAGCTTTAGACCTATTTTGCCTTTGGATATTCGTAAATACACAGATTTAAAACCGAAACGCAATTAAACTTCACGACTTTTCATTCTGTGGATTGTGGGTCGTACATTTTGGACTATGGTTGTTTTTATTTTTACTGCTTGTGGGTATCGAACTCACTATACATAATCATGCAAGAGAAGCTATGGGTACAAGCTTGTAATATATATTCCAGAAGAGCCACCGAACCCCCATCCATCCTAATACTGTTTGCGGGGGCCGTTCAAGATGTGTTACTTTTGGACCGCCCACGGAATGATCCTTGATGTCCTGATCGTGGTCACCTAGTCTTCAAAACGCCTCGAGCCAAAGGAGCCGACTGTGATTCGGCTGTGGTCCTGTCATATTTTGAGAGGGTAAAGTACTTACAACATTTTCGTCGTTTTAGGCATGTATCTAGCGGCTCTTGCTCGATTTTCCAATATTTCTCTAAAACAATCGTGTTACTTGTAATTTTAGCTGTGCCAGTGCCTTAAAGACACTTAAGAAACATTTAAAAGAGTATTTAAATGATTAAGTTATGTGGTGTATATTTTGTCTTTAAAAAAATAAACAAACTGTCGTATTAAGAACTTGTTTTTTTTTCTATGACAGACGAGGACAGAAAAGCATGGGGGTTTACTTCCTCCAGCCAGATAACATCTAAACAAGATGCGCTAGAGTCTTATGTGGCTTTGGACATTCGGAACTCCTGTAGACAATGGCTCGCGGCCTGGACAGAAATTATAAACTCCTACCACTCTTTGAGTATCCAAATTAATACATCCGAAGTCTAACATGCTTCAGATGAGTTATAAATTGATTAGAAAGATGTTGGACCCACTGGACATATACTTTGTTTTTTTTTCTCTAAAATCTTCGTTTCTATCGGTAATATTTCTTTTTTGCCTTTAATTATCTTCTTTGACTGTTGGATATCAAAAGGCGAACTTACTTCAACAAATTAACGCTTATCATGGCGCTCGGTAGCCTAGCCTCCACTGGATTACTGACCAAGATTATTGCGTCATCCAAAGTTTTATTTTCACTGTATTTTGGCGTATTCACGTCATTGTAATATTCCACCGATTCTTCTATCTCGTAATACAGATCATTGGGAAGATGCTACAGATATTTACATACGTATTACTTGAATTATTGTTTTAACGTGTTAATAAATATAACAATTACTGTCTGTACTTTACGCGAGTAGTACACATTTAAATAAAACACTTTAAAACGCGATATATATTTGTTATTTGAAATGTTTTTTTTTGAAAATGATTTTAACTTTATTCAAAGTTATTTTAACTACGGCCCGGAGATTGTCTCCCGTGACCACGTCGGTCCGTAGTTATTATAATTTTCAATTAATTTTCGAACCGGTTTTATTTAGATATAAGAGCTGTTCTAATTATAGACCCAATTCATAAATTGAGATTGACATAATAAATTGAGTTCTACGCAGTATTATAGAAGTGATTACTCAAATTGCAGCTATGTTGCACCAAAGGCCGTAGGTTGAAGTCTCATCATATTTCGATAGTGATTTTATATCAAAATAATATATATGTATGTATAACAAAAACCTTAAAGATATTAAAACAATTGCTTAAAATTATATCTTTCTCATTGCCATCTTTAATCTTGATGTTTGCATCACTTAACAACATCTGTTTACGTTTTTAATGGCATGAATCTCTCACTTACAAATAACCATCTTTAAAAACACGTTTTTAGAAAAACTAGAGAAATTATAAAGGACCTTTTTTAAGCTGGGAAAGAGCTTCAAACTATCCTTTATGCCCATGCGGCGTGTGGACTGCAAAGCATGACGTATAGCCCTTCTTACTGGACCCAAACCTTCGCTCTGCCTGATGAGGGAGAGCAAACGGATCACAGAGGGGAAGTCCCATTTCTCGGAATCTATGTAGCCAGGTGGGGCTGGTACGATGTCAGCTTAAATTGTAAATTATTTCCATTAATAGGGTGACGTGGCACAGAAAGAAGGAAATCATTTTGAGTATGATAGTTTAAAAATTCGAAATATAATATCTGTTGACATGCTTTTACCTTAGGGACTACGTACGCTGCGAAAGCACTTCAAGATACTCAAAAATATGTATGAAGGGATAATTTCTCTTAAAACGATCTAAAAAATGTCTGCGACAGTATAATATGTCTACTTTTTACAATCTACTTGCTTTTAACAGCTTACATTTACAGAGTTGACAAATTTTAATTTCCAAAATAGCTATTGTACGCTGACGAAGTCGCTGACACAGCTTTATATTTTTAATACATTGTACCTATATTCATGAGTTAAGGGGTTGAACGTGGTCCTCCGTAATAAGCCAGTGAAGGATAAAATTAATTCTGTAATATTTATTTGAATCGGTTTACCTTTCAACTGCACCGCGGGAATTTTTTGCAAATCATTTATAAAGTTGAATCTGTGGAACTCCACAAGTCGGTCCAGCCAACCGGATTTACGAATATTTACGTTAGCTTGGGTTAGTACTAAAATATAAGGTATAAGCGCTCTCTGTAAATACAATACATCATTAATTATGTAACCTGTCTGATAAAGTGATTCACTAAGTAATTTATAACGGTTAAAACTTTGGAAACGAAAATAGTCTTTATAGTTATTTTAGGATTCGTTTACTTACAAGTAGAAACATCGCTCTTGTAATGATATTTTAGTACATAATAAAAAATAAGGAAAATGTATTAATTAATTTCATGCGTTATGAATTTTTAATAGCGCATAAACAGTCGTGTTAAGCTTTATATTGTATTTATTTAAAACATTCATGTTCCTTTTTTTCGCTATTAACACTTAACACTCATTTTTTTTTATTTAAGTATTTTTAATAATAAAAATAATTAAAAATGAACTGATTGTTCCCCTAAGTTACATTTTTAAATGAATTATATAAAATTTAGGGACAAAATTAAGTGGTACGTCAGACATAAATAGTAAGAGTGATTTTAGTTATAGTTTACAATTTAAATTAATATATATTGTAAACTCTACTTTATAGTTTTATGTCAATTGTCAACGTCATTCTTCAAGTAATTTCATATTAAAATCAACCGTTCTTCGACCGCACTTTGACGTTGACAGTATTTAAAAAGCGGACGTGTCGGACGTGTATTATAAACCATAATATATCAAGTTACAATAAACTTTTGTAAATAGTAGGAAATATAGCATAAAACTTTCGCTACCTCTTTATTATTAAGCAGTACGTTACATTTTAAATTAGCATTTCCTCTTGATTTATTTTATTAATATAAAATAAAAGCATTTTCGCGGTGTAAACAAAGAGAACAGTTTTAGACAATGTGTGTGTCTTAGAGCGAATGAAAATACGTTTAGATTTAGGATTAATGAAAAGAAAGATTTTACATTTAATTACTATGACTAGTGTGCACAGGGAGGCGCCTATAGGTATACAGTGTTTAGAAAAACTTAATTCGTTGTGGTGCCCGCGATGGAGAATAAACAGACTTCGGTGGTGAGTTATTAAGAATTCATAGTTTAGGTGTATACCTTTTTCACAACATTTCACGACCTTCGAAAGTTTATAAAATGTATGTTTGTGAAAACGTTAATCCATACATTGTAAAATCTACACAGATATTCTACAAATTACAAAATCCTACATGAAATATTTAATTAGATAAACATATCTTATTCTTTTATCTCTAAAACAATAAAAGTCAAATAAATGAAATGCTAAATTTTTATTGATCATTGTTAAGATAAAAAGTAACACTTTTCAAAACATTCAAATAAATTATATTTAACTACATTAAGTTCCTAAAGCATACAAAAATACATACAATTTATGTATCTTTTGTATCCTTTGATTAATATCCTATTGTACTCAGTTATGAAACAATGATATTTTGTAAAACTAAACCCTTTTTTGCTAAATCATACCTACTGATTATGGTGGTGGGAAACTTTTAAAATCAGTATATACCCTAGCTTATGTTTGCATCATTTTTAGCCAGTATCTCATCCGTCAGCACTGATTATAACTAAAATATACATTTTTACAGTTTTTTAAGTAACGGGAACGTTATGTGTGATTATCAACTAATTGATATAGACATTAAAAGTATATTACAATATCTGGGAACATAAAATTTCTAGTGATAAGATATGATGCAAAAATATCTTTTTGATTGATAAGATTTGAAATAATGAAAGGAAGTAATCGTAAATATTTTTTAAAGACAAATAAAAACACCATAACATGTATAGAATCAATGATGTTGCTAGTTTGAGTTTGCTTCTTTTTCTTGTCTTCTTCATCTTACTATATTTTATTCCTTTTTTTACATTAGATAAAACACAACCATTATTTATGATATATTTGTTAGTGCTATAAATTAATTGGTATGAATAAAATCATATAATCAGTTGTCATTTAATACATTACTGACTTAGAGTTAATTGCTTCAATTTAATTGACCTTTAGCATAACGCTAAAACACATCAAGCGTTAAGGCTGACAGGTTGTTTGGATCCTTGGGAAACATAATAAAATTCCGATTGGGTGAAGCAGAGAGTGTGTCCCTTGTCCCACAGTAAGGGTCCCATGACCCGAAGTAAGTTTCTCTTGCTCCATAGTAAGTTTCCTTTGACCCAAAGTAAGTGTCTCTTGTCCCACGGTAAGGGTTCTTTGACCTAAAGTAAGTGTGTCTTGCCCCACAGTAAGTGTCCCATGCCTCCTGTATATCACCAAAAACTATTTGAAGTTAGTAGTAAATTGACATTTTGGGAAACGGAAACACGACTTTCACAAAAGGTCAGTCTACTACTAGCATTTACTTTAGATTTTCAGTTTTGCGTGGCATCTTATTTTGGCGTGGGTGGGGATTTTTAGCAAAATCGACTAGAGAATGTTAAGACGTCTCATTGCCGTGTGCACTAACCGTTGCCATGTCCTCGACACGAATTTTTACTGGTTTCAACTATTATCCATCTGTGATAATAATTATCGGCAAATAGAGGTATGACACGGTTTAATATGGTAATTTGATCCGTTGTTATGTTTAATATCGTTACTAATATTATAGAGAAGAGTTTGTTTGAACACGATAATCCTAGGAAATACTGGGTCGATCATTTATCGAGGAAGGCTTTAGTCTATAAAACCAATCGATGCGACCAATACGAGAGAAGATACAATGGGAAATGTGGAAAAAAACGGGGAATTTTCTTCAGCTCCCGTTGCGTGCGCTGTGAAAACGACTCAAGAAACCAAAACACTATTTATGGCAGAATTATTCCTATTTAAATAATTTAAAAAAATGTTCCCGACATTAAATGTCTATCTGTTAAGATTTATTTGCAAAAACGACGAGACGCGGACGACGTCGTTAGTCACAGCTAGTTTAAAATATGTATATGTACTTAGAACCATAAATGTGTTATCATTATTAAGTAATTCGGAAACAGGGTGTACACACATTACAATCATTAAATATAATCAATATACAAATTGTAATACAGACAGACCAGGATGGCAAGGTCAATGAACTTATTATGCGATTATTAGGAAATAAGATATTATAAGGGGATGCGGCGACATATAAAGCTGTTACGCATGACACCGCATGCGCAGGCGAAGGAAAGTTAAACACTGGCCAAGTCAGAATTGGAGACGGACACGACGTGTTCCGTACCGTTGTAAAAAAGTAGATGCACAAGTTTTCAACTCCTTTATTTATAATTACATTATATCCTACTAGTATTATAAACGTGAAATGTGGAAGGATGTTTGTTACTCTTTTACGCAAAAACTACTGAAGGGATTTATAAAGTATTACTTTCCAATAATATAAGCTTAAGAACATCAGAATAACACCTACCTTTCTCCGAGCTATTCTGGCGTGCGCATAGACTATAATTTATAAATATGTAATTGTGTTAGTCTATGCCCAGAATATAGGACCAATTAATCCTGCGTGTCAAGTCGCAGGCACCAACTAGAAAAAACTTATTTATAAACGATGGTTACACAAAAATCTGTCTTTTAATTTATGTCATTCAAGTGTAAGCATACACTAGCTTCGCTCGAAAAACCAAACTAGAGCAACGCAGGTTTTTTTTTTATTATGGATATTATTGGTGATGAATAACCACCACGAATAGTACAGGCACGTACAACTAAAGTAAAACGATTAGGTTATCTAAGAATCTTAGATTACGAATAGTTCAAAATATTTTCTTAATGATCCGACTCTTTATATAGGCAATGGTCCCAATAAATAAATAAGGAACAGTAAATAAAAATATGTCTTGTAATTGTTTTGGGGGGCTTACCAACTTGTTTAATTTATAATCCTCTTCGAAAGTACGAGCAACCTATGGGTTTTATTTCATTATAGTTGCAAGATGGATGCATTTCGTATGGGTGAAATGACATAACCATCACGAATATTACAGACGTATAACTAAAAAGTTAAAACAATTAGGTACCATTTATCTAGAGATATTTTATGATTACGAGAATAAATTTATAGTTCTTTTTACTTCTAACTTTGTGCAGCATCTCAAACGTCTGACCGTTCTTAAGTAGTCGGATAATTCAACTAACTTAATAAAAAAAAAACTAATATATTTCGCGTTTTGAACCGTTCAAAGTTATATGAATATTTCGAAATATTATTTAAAGTATGTATAAGATACATTTCCAAGCGAAGTCACGAGCGAAAGCTAATTAGCTATAAGTAAATATGTCTGTATTTTAATGAACACTCGGTCCTTGGTTGACAACCGTGACTCATACAGATATAATGTCATGTGTAAGTAATGTTATAACAGCGATAGCTGGAATAGAATAACATGTTATTGTTAGATGGTTGCAAACTAATCATGGATCCAATTTCCTAATAGTAAACTTACTCACGTTATTACTAGCTTTGTCAGCGACTTAATCCGCGTGGAATAGTTATCTTGGCCATCAAAATTATTCTTTACAAACAACCCTCTCAGCTAATATATTACATCTTTATAAATGTAAAAGACCCTCCAAGTTGACCGCATCCCGCCGCATCGTTCTATTTAATCCTAACAGATATACCTACAATGATGTCGCGGACAATTTTTTTAGGTACTTTTATGGGAAATGTTTCTTTCATACATATTTTTGGTATCTTAAACCGTTGTACCGTACGCAACGAGAACCTACAAGGATTTATAATTTCCTCCTTTTTTTCCTATTTACCGCTATTTCTTATCTACTATTACTTAGTCGCAGCTCGATGTTTTATAGGCTTCCTTAATACATGCTCTAAGAAACAAAAAAGGAGTTTTTCAATTTGAACCAACAGTTCCTGAGAATTAGCGCGTTCGACGTCGTGGTTCTTATATTTATAAAGATAAAGAAGTTCGCAAAACCAAATTAAAAATTGATTTTGCGAAATGAAAACTTTATTATTTTTTACATTGCACATGAAGGCACTATATAATTTAAAAATCGAAAATAAATTGTAAAAAATTTCGGACTTGAACGGGCAGGCACTTGACAGCCGGTTCAAGTCGCTCAGAGTTGATTTTTTTTTCGATTTACAAATTTTGATGCCCAAAATAACTATTCTACGCGGACGAAGTCGCTTGTACAGCTAGTATTAGATATATTCAGAGCCAAGTAGTTAGGGACCTTTAAAGTTCACATAAAATGTACAAAAAAAATCTGTCTTATACCTTTATTTAAATAAAAACTTTAACGGTTTAAAATGGATATATTAGTTAAACTTATTTGAAAATGATTTTTAACTTCGGCTCGACGTTTCGGATGCTTGCAGCAGCTGTGGTCACGGGGAAGAGTTTCCCCCCCCGTACCATTTTATTAAATGTGTACTACTCGCGTAACAGCTATAGACAGTATCTAATTTAGTATATATATAGATATAAATTTTTCGATTACTACAGGTTCCAGGCCAGCGTCCTGATCCTGACTTACTTCACGTACATGACATACCACCTCACACGCAAGCCCATATCGGTGGTGAAGAGTATCCTACATCAGAACTGCAGTGCGCTACCTCCCCCACCTGATCTGAAACCAGGGGACGACCAGTGGTGCAACTGGCCGCCTTTTAGTAAGAACCTTATAAATAAATAGTTTTTTTTCAATGACAGACATACATGAAGTTTACTTGATGGAAGACGAAGTGCCCCAGCCATGTCAACAAGTTGCACTGTGGAGCTATTGTAGTTTTCGACTTTCGGATATCGACAGACTGAAAACCAAATGCCATTAAACTTCACTGCTATCTCCTCTGTGGAAGCTGATTAGTGACCCGATCGGTTGATATTGCCACAAGTCATTTAATATCAAGAAGGCCAGATGTTTAACATGTGTCAGAAAATGTTAAAGTTGATTATAAACATGTTGTTCTCGGTGGGGATCAAACGAATGACTGATTGATTAACTGTAACTTACTTTACTTCCTAAGCAGTAACAACTTTTGTAGAACAGCTGTTAGGACCATTTTTTCATTATTTTCCAGATACAAATGACGCCAACACTCTGCTGGGTGCTTTGGATTCGGCCTTTTTGTTCAGCTACGCGGGAGCCATGTTTGTTTCGGGTACGTAACTATTGTCAGAAAGTTATGTTATACGTATATTGAAATGGCCATATAACGTACTTATAACGTGTGGTGACTAATTATGACTTATATTCATCCATGGTAAACCCGAAACGCGATTACACCTCGCGGCTTTTTTATCTGTGGAGGGTTGTTCGTGTCATAGGCAAAATTTCGATATTCCTTCACCCATTTAATGTCTAGATTTCACGAGTGGGAGGACGGCCTCAAGTTATCAAACACCTGGGATCCCATATTAAAAACTCTGGATCCCAATATACAGCATACCGGCAAACGCGAAGACACCGTTAGTCAATTCTGCAAGGACCCGGCCAATTTCGCCAAATACCAACTTCGACGGAACAGATGGCGCTAGCGTAGCAATTGTTTACTTTGACGTCAGTGACATCCTCCATCTTTAGTATCCCCGTGACCACGGCTGCTGCAAAGCATCCGAAACGTCGGGCCGAAGTTAAAAATCATTTCCAAATAAGTTTAATTAATATATCGCGTTTTAAACCGTCAAAGTGTTTTATTTGAACATACTCTGTTCGCGTTACCCACAGACAATACTTAATGAATTATCTTTCACTACGGCTTTCTATTTTTTTCGATTGGCATCAGTTTAGATAATCTATTCACATGTTTGAGCATCTGACTAGATTAACCACCATGTCCAAGTGACAACATTCCACTTTGGACTATTTTAACTGTTAAAAACGCGTAAGCAGCTGCGGTCACGGGGAGGCTAGGAGAAGTCTCCTCGTCACCACGGCTGCTGCAAAACATGCGAAAGCATCGGGCCGTAGTTAAAATAATTACCAAATAAGTTTAACTAATATATTTCGCGCTTTTAACCGTTAAAGTGTTTTATTTAAATGTGTAGGTACTGCTCGCGTAAACTGTCTATAGTTAAATATTGCTTTATCTTCCAGGTATGATCGCTGAAAGGGTAGATCTCCGCTACTTCCTGTCCCTGGGAATGCTCAGCTCAGCCATTTTCTGTTACCTCTTCGGACTTGCGAAGACTTTTAATATACATGACATATCCTATTATTTAGTTGTGCAGGTATGTTTTATGAGTCACCATTACCATTTGTTACCTAGTTACTGGTCAAGTATATAATTCATCAATAGTCCGGCTGCCCATCTGAGACTATTTTGACGGGCTCGTTGGTCTAATGCTAGCAATGTATGGCTTATGATCATCTGATCGTCGGTTCGATTCCCACCAGGTCCATTATGTTTCTAATTTTTCTGAGACATGTTGGACTTCGTCTGGAAATCTGGATATTAAATAAGTGGTAGGAATATAGAAATTCGGTCCGAGTCACGAATCACCGTCCACAGATGAAGCCGCGAAGCTTAATCGCGTTACGGTTTCAGTCAGTGGATTTCCGAATATCCAAAGCCGAAATGGGTCGATAGCGCTAGCTAGGGTATATCACCTATCATGAAGTGAACCCTAAGCTTGTCTAATCTCTACCATTAAAAATAAATTGAACAATGTTAGGCCGTGGATAGAAGGATTAGACCTCTCGCGTTTAAAAGTTCTTGGAATATAATAAATCTCATTTTAATTCGTATAATTCAACTATGTATATTGTTTAAGGCAGGGGCGGGTATAGCTCAGACAACTGGTTGGCCTGGAACCGTGGCCATAATGGGCCAGTGGTTCGGTAATACCAAACGTGGACTTATTTTTGGTATTTGGAATTCCCATACGTCGTTGGGTAATATCTTAGGTAAGTTTTAAGTAGATATTGTTTTTAAGTATTGTAGATACTCATTTGGTAGACGACATATATCCAAGATTTTATTTATTTAATTTGTACTCTAAGTCCAACCATAAAGTCACAATTTTGTATGACTTGACTTGCTACTGCATGTGATTCTTTCTATTCTTTTGTTATAAATCACTGCAAAGTTATCTTAATTTCCCATTGTATCAAGTGCAATTTATTTAAATAAAATTTTTAAACGGTTAAAATAAAACGGGATATATTAATTAAACTTATTTGAAAATTACTTTAACTACGCCCACCTTCGGATGCTTTGCGCAGCAAATAACTTTCAAATAAGTTTAACTAATATATATTAAAGTGTTTTATTTAAATGGGTACTACTCCTAAACTATATACCGTATTTAAAAGTACACCGAGTTAGTATAGTTTGTCTCTCTCCTCTCAGTCCCCTACAAAAAACAAGGACATTAAAATGGACAGTGGGCGTCACACTACAATTCTCTTTATAACTCGTTTTGGTGATTAGACTGTAAACGATTTCAATTTTGAAAGTATCGGATAGATATTAAAATAAATGTAGATTCAACATGGTATGAAATTATTAATAATATAATTGTGTATTTAAAATTTATATCTATAAATGGTTTAACATCCACAGGCACAGTAATGGCCGCGGAATACGTGGAAAACGATTGGGCGCTATCGTTCGTATACCCAGCGCTGGTGATGGGTGTTATTGGTTTCATCGTCTTCCTGTTTCTCGCGCCGGAGCCAAGATGTGTTGGTCTTAGTGTTGATAGGCCTTCAGTAAGTGAATTTATTACATATTATTTACAATCACTAACTATTTGTAAGTTTGACATGATTATGTCATTTAGGTGATTGTGTTATAAGTGCCCGCGGATTTATCGGTGTTTTGTCTTACAAGAGTAGACTAAATTATTGTTCCAATGTCAATCCTTAAAAAACTATTAAATAAATAATAATATTCGCGAAAAATCTAAGAATAGTGATTTATTAAAAATGCATCTTTCAGCCGAGCAGACAATCAAGGCGGTCTGTGGATGAAGATGAACCCTCCCAGGTCATTGTTGGAGATCAGGTATTTGTTTTTGAATTTAATATAACATATTGTTCATAAATTAGGTTCTATTGGGCACTGCGTTCATGGATGGATCTAAACAATAGGGCAGGGCACTCAATGTTGTGTAAAACAGCACTTAACAAGAAGGCATGTCTGATCCCATTATACAATGTATTCATCCTAACAAATACCTTTGTAAACTTTTTAATTACTTTGTTAAGTAATAATACTTTGATATATTATTTTTTGTTGGTAACATACATTTTGGACTTAAAAATATTGGAAGCTTATTAATTTATAGGAATCAAATAAGATACTTTTATAAATGGTTTGAAACAGCAGTTAATTTTACCCTACGTCCCGACGTTTCCAGCCTTGATCACGGGGATGGAAGCTGGCTAAGATATATATGTCATAAGTGTCTACATTATACCCATAAACGACAGATATAACATATCACAATTTATTAAGCTAATTGCATGTTTCACAGACTGCCAGCTTAAGGCCAAATAGACATTCTGCCAATTCACCTCCGGTAAGTTAATTAAGCATTCCTTGGTGATTAATGAATTTTTCTATATGCCATTATAAGTAGCATTCATAGTGGGCAGTATTAATAAAATTATTTCTTACAAAAAATAACTGACATCCAACAGTATACTAAAAAGCAATCCCTATTTTGATTTAGTTAAATAGAAAAAAATTATAACTTAAAAAAAGTACGTTGTATGGAAAGCAAATAAATAAATGACATCTTATGTTTGTTCTTTTCAGTCTCAAGACGACGAGGAACCGTCAGAGTCCAGCGCGCTCCTCGGACGGTCTCGCTCGCGCGGTAGTGCCGTCTCCCTCTCGCGGGCACTCGCGATACCGGGAGTTATAGAGTTCTCTCTATCTCTCTTCTTCGCGAAGCTAGTCAGCTATACCTTTCTCTATTGGCTTCCATTGTATATTAAGTCTTCCAGTAAGTTAAAAACTATTATTGTAAGTCAAGACCATGCTTAATTTAAGTGATTATTACCTTAAGCGACCTATTTTAATTTTGAATGCGTGGGACCCTCAATTGCCAGGCGCCCTGTCCATTTCACAGTTATATACTATTTATTATACATTACTCTATTTACAGACAATAGTTGGGGCCTCTGCGCCCAATCGGACCGAAATGTTATATTTATTTTTTTCGCTCGATTTTTAACGCGAAGGCATGGTTATATATCCTATTGTCCTGTATAAATATTAACTATATATATATAATAAACAGTACTTTATAAACAGAATAAGATGATCCTTCTGTGCCTTATCAGACCGAAATGTTCTATTTCTTCCTTCCCCTTTAATCTTTGTGGGCAATGCAATGGTAATGTGATCAAACATTTAGGTCTCTGTTCGATTTGCTCGACCGAAATAATTATATTTACAGCGTTCTATATAGTTTTATAATTGTTTTTATTGAAAGTCATGTTATTAATTTGCAGCTTCCCTAACACCGCGCCAGAGTGGTGAAATTAGCACCGCTTTTGACGTGGGGGGTGTCGCTGGTGCTATTGTGGCCGGCCTGTTGGCAGACGTGGTCGGGTGTCCGGGCATAGTCTGCACTGTGTTCTACGCGCTGTGTGCTCCTACGGTAAGTTCTGTTTTTATCCTAGCAATCTCTTAGTTGGATATGGCTTGGTTTTATCCTAACAAAATAGATGAAACTCAACGTTTCATTTATATGTATATTTGAATGGAATTTGAGGGTGACAAACAGTTTAAACAAATACTTGTTAGTTTCTAAGTTATGCTTAAAATTGGCTTATTCTAATTTAGCTCAATTTGATATCTGTACTAAGCTAAGCCTCTTTTGTAATTTATATTCAAAGAAAGAAGATTAAAGATATAATACATGCATCTTTCTTTATATTTTTTTGAAATTTAATTTGTATTTGTTTCATTTTATTGAAGATTCGTCTTTACAGCTCCTATTTTATCAATGGTGGGGAGCGTCCTCCTACTTCCTAAACATACTTTTGTTGGTGCTAGCTGGTATTTTGGTGAACGGCCCATACGCGCTTATCACAACAGCTGTTAGCGCTGAATTAGGTAATTTTTTTTTCTACTAAATCTGTTTGCTGCAAAGTACAATGACCTAATGTATAGTTATTAACATAGAAATAGTACAATAAGTTATGGATATAATCGTTTTTAAAAATGTCACCATATAAGGTACTGCCATGTAAGGCAAATCGTCCCCTCAGGATATTAAAATAGACTAAAGATAAATTATTATATATTGTTTGAGATAAAGTATAGGCTATCTTTATCTCATATACGTTATGTAGGATCCCTTGTTGAGTATATCTAGATTATAATTTTTGGTGCTTGACGAGGGATCGAACAGACGTTGGGAATGTATTTTTCGTAGTTAATAACTGTCTCTTATTGTATTAGGAACACATAGCAGCTTGTCCGGTGATTCGCAAGCTCTGGCAACAGTCACTGCTATTATTGACGGCACTGGAAGTATAGGTAATTATTTATATAATTATTTTTCCTTGCTCTGGCAACAGCAACAGCGTTTTACCTTTAATGAATAATTCTTTGTTAATTACACAGATAAGAACATGTTTCATTTATATTTCTTTTTATTAGATAGATATCAAATAAAAGAGGAAATCATTGCATATATCCTGACTATTATAAGTGTCTAAAAACTTTAACGGTTTAAACCGCGATATATATAAGTTAAACTTATTTGAAAATTATGACCTGACCACGACTAATGCAAAGCATCCGAAACGTAGGGCCTAAGGTAAAAATAATTTCAAATAAATTTAACTAATATACATCGCGTTTTAAACCGTTAAAGTGTTTTATTTAAATGTGTACTACTCGCGTAAACTACAGACAGTATTATAAATGTTTATTGACATTATAATACTGTCTGTAAAGACATTGGATAGTGAAATTTTTATTTTCTTTCTAATTAAGCAAATACTAACCCCTCTTTATAAATAAATAGTCTACTACAACACAGTAAAAATATTTTTTACCTTTCCAGGTGCAGCGGTTGGCCCAATGTTGGCGGGTGTCGTCTCCAGCGCTGGTTCTTGGTCTCACGTGTTTTACATGTTAATAATCTGTGATTTCATGGCTCTTCTTTTACTACTACGGTAAGAATTACATTTACACTAACTAAACTTATCTAAAGCTCAAATCAAAACTGGAAAGATTCACGCTCAGCTAATAAAATTATTCTAAAGTGAATTATGATGAAGTAGGAAGGCAGGATTTATCTGATTGTTGTTAATAAAATCGAATAGATTTACTAATGCAATATTTTGCCTTTTGAATTAAATTAATTTTATTATTCTTACAGAATAGTGAAATCGGAAGTGTTGAAAATACGCCAAGAACGGAGGTTAGCGTCGCCGCGACTCGTGCGCATCGAGTAGCAGTATTATTGTACAAATATATTTATAATAAACCCATTAATGACTATGACCAAGATTTTACTGATGACTTATGTATTTTGTTTCCTTCATGCCCAAAATAACTATTCTACGCAGACAAAAATTGTATATATTTCTCTCTGATCAGGAATATATTACATAATATTATTCCCAAAAGAATAAAAGTAATACAATTATATTCTTGTGGTTTATTGGAAAATATTTTTTTCTCAAATTAAGAAAGTTTTGTCTGCAATAGTGGATCACATTTAATAAATTACTTAACATATTATTAATGAATTTAATATGAAATACATATATGTAATATTAAGGGAAAAGAATTAGGTCCTTTTCCTCCATGACCATGGTTCACTGATCATTTTATGTCCTAGTCCTATTAACTTGTTTAATTGGATAAACAAAAGAAATTTAACAATATGAATCTATGACTTCAAAGGTAAAGTATTTAGTACTGGAGAAACTTTATTTCAAAAATAGGTCTTAAAGCTATGTAAGTAATATACACATTTATCTTATAAGCTAATATAATAAATAAATTCTATTAAATCTTTAAACTTTCAAATGCAAATTTAGCATCAAGTTCAAGACAACAAGACTGAGATGACAATTTTTTTATGTCTCTGTTTTTAGGCTCGACCCAAAGGTACTATAAAGGACAAACTGTCCCCAACCGCTCCCCATGCAACTCTATTTAACTGGAATGCTGTCACCCATGCAGCGAGAATAATGATCCAAACTATTGCACCAAGTCCACTTAGCAGAACATCTGAAATTAAAGATTTTTATGAATATAAATTTTAGAATATATATGGACTTAGATAACTGAAGATGACAAATCATTGGGTCACTGTTGCCCCAGGGGTAATGCCAAAGGGCCTGGTTTGGTTGAAAAACATAACTAAATAAGAACAAATTTTGCAACTAGACATTTGAAACAATGAACTTACATTTCTTTATCTGTTTCTGTTCATCAAAAGCAGGTTTTACGAATGCTTCTTTAAAGAACCATACAACATTAACAGCCCATACAAATGGTAAAAAGAAACAACCACCTGTAACAAAAATACAATACATATCTTAATTACTTGAGTATCACTCTAGTATGCAAGATAAGTAATCAATTCTACTAACCAATGAAGTAGCTTCGACAAAGCTCGAGCTTTTTGTCATTTGGAAGCTTGTTTAAATCCATTTTGACAATTAATTATTACCCCTATACTCTTGGCAAGTAGCTGGACTAAAAATAATCTTAATCAGTAACATACAACCTCATGAAATACAGCTTTCCTTTTTTCAAAATACTAAAAATCAGTTTTCGCCAAGTTTGTTGTTAGCAAGTTTTCACATTCCTTTGCTATTGACACTGTGCCTTTAATAAATCAATAGTAGTCGTAATGACATTGACAATTGACATTCGAAGCGACAGAAGTCAAATAGAATTTAACGACGTTGTGTGTATCGATAAGGAAATAAAGCCAAAAAGCCTAGTATCGAGTTGTAAAAATACAAACAAGTCTGCGTTTAAGAAAACACCAACAATGCAAAAATGGCGTAATTTGTTAAATGACAGCTCAGTGAAAATGTAAAATAAGTAAATAAAAATGTTTGTTCGTGTAAAACATGTGTTTCTGTGTATAGCCGTCCTTCTATTAAGTTCTAAGACATGTGAGTATATTCTTTTTATTACGTTTTTACTATGACTGCCGTGTCGTGTTGTAAATAACACTGGATACTTGGCAAATTTCATAAATTTTTCAGGTTTTCTGTTTTAAGACCTTGAGCTTATATGAAATCACGTTAGGATGTACATAATCGCATCTTTACCACAAGCTTTTACTAATAAAACTTTATTGTTGTAGCTTAAAGTTATACTATGTTTGGTATGTCTATGTTCTGCTTTTCTTTAACGGTATTTTATTATTATATCCTTTCTCTCTATTCAAATATACTTTCTTTTCTACGTTTTTGTCTACGTGTCAAAATTTTTGTGTGTTATTTATAAATATTTATATATTTCAAAATTTAGACTTGAAAATTTAAATTTCCTCACTATAAAGTATGTTTAAGGTATCTTGACACGAAATATTAACACTGTTATGTTATATTTGTTGAGTAACTGTTATTAATATGCCCTTCTTGTAATATTATGCATATAAAAGATATTTATTTCCACAAAACATGTTTTTACACCTAGCAACCTCTAGTTTACCTAATGTTATGATTGTTTTAGCAAAAGTTCTTATCACATAATTTAAATTTTTAATCTATTAAGTTATTATAAAGTTGTACCATACACTGTTTTAAGGGGTACAACATGGGAGGCCTAGTATCAATGTAGGTATTTATATTTACACAAAGCAAACAAAAAATTTTACAAGGTCCACAAAAGTTTATACATATCATGCCCCAGATTAAGAAATTTAATTTAAGATAAAATTCTATGAAATCTAAAATGCTTTTACTAGAACAAATACTGTTTATATTTCCTGCAAAGTGTGGAGTATTAAACACAATTTAAAAGTAATATAAGATCTTTGTTTATACATCTGATTAAGTTTCCATGGTCGGATTGCAATAAACAATTATATTGAACAATTGATGACATTATCCTTGTCAATTTATTGCTGATTACATTGCGGAATTTACTGTCACTTCCCAAAGTTTGAGGTCACAGATTTCTACTTCACAGGAAAATGTTTACAGCCTAGTGAAATTGGACAAGGTTGGAATGTTACAGAATGTGTATTGTCTCTTAATATTACAAACATGTTTCTAAATTCTTATTTAAAAAAGGAAAAGGTTAAAATTTAATATTGTTATTATCCCTTCCAAAGCTTAAATCATACATAGAACTATATTGTTATACTTTATGTATTTAGCAGGCAAGTTTATTTGTTGCAATGAGCATAAGATTAACTGAGCAAAATTCTCGTTTAAAATAATTCTATCAAAACAAATTACAATACGCTGTTTTTACCACTATTTCTATAATTTCAGGTTTCAGTGAGCCACAGATCCCATCTCTGACACTGTACAGCCCCGGAGAGTTGGAATACAGCGACGTGCTCGTACGCAGATTACACGACAATTTGACCCTAGTGTGCGCAACGCGAGGCGACAGCAATACGAGAGGCTATGTGTGGAACTATGTCGGAAATAACACGAGTTCCGGGGCTAGGTAACATTTGATTTTACTAAGTTAGAAAACTATTATTATTTGTTGTTTATTTTTCTATTGAGGACGCTGACCACATTGATTGACACAATTTAAGTTTGAGTATCATATTATAATATTAACATAGTAAGTGTAAGATTTAACTTAATTTTAAATAACTGAGTCTTCCAAAACCACTATTTCATGCAGTCTGTAGGAGAATAAGGCTTAACAATATACTGTTTAATGAAAATAAAGATGGCTTTTTGCACAAACACCTACATAGCAAAATAATGCTAGTATTACAATGATTTTAAATGTTCCTCTCATATATGTTATGTCATTTTGTTCCAGCTCGTTTACAGTGTCACCCTCTGGTCCCTCCAGTAGCAGTAAGCTTGAAAAGTATGACCTTCAGCTGTCTGACAGTGGACACTACATGTGCTCATCCCCACCATTCAGCATCACCAAATATATTTTGGTGCAGCGCAGAGGTATACCTATCATCATATACCAAATTGAGATTTTTTAGCCCACTTTGATGAGCTTTCACGATCTAATTCAGTATGAATTTCTTATAATAATAAATAATATTGATTAAATACTGTCTGTAGTTTACGCGAATAGTACACATTAAAATAAAACATTTTAATGCTTTAAAACGCGGTATTGGTAAACTTATTTGAAAACCATTTTCAAATAAGTTCAACTAATATATATCGCATTTTAAACCGTTAAAGCTGTGTTTCATGAATAATTTGCCTCTAGGTGGTACGCAGTGCGCGCGCGGTGCATTCTCTTGCGGAACCAGATGCGTTCTAGCCGCGTACGTTTGCGACGGCCGTCCTGATTGCGAACGCGCAGAGGATGAATCGCCAGAATTTTGTCCACCACAGCCGTGTCAGCGTAAGTATATTCATGACTAGCTGTGTTAGCGACTTCGTCCGTCAAGAATAGTTATTTATGCATTTCATTAATGTTTTAATTTCATTTAAGGTCATAGCGAGGTTGGTGTGGTTTATATAGCTATAACATTCCTAGATATTTATCAAGGAATGTTATAGGCTATATAAACAGCAGTAGAGCATTTGCTCTAAGCAAATACTGTCTGTAGTTTACGCGAGTAGTACACACTTAATTAAAACACTTAACGGTTAAAACGCGATATATTAGTTAAATTTATTTGAAAATCGGATGCTTTGCAGCAGCCGTGGTCACGGGGAGACAATCAACACAAGTAATTTATCAATTCGATCTAGTAGTTCCTGTGATTAGCTCGTAAAAACAAACAAACTCTTCAGCCTTAAATATTAGTATAGATTAGGGGTTCCATCCCCAAATGGCAAAATGGGATGTACCACATAACACGTGTCGTTTTAGAGGTATGCTCGTGCCAAGTCAAATAACTTCAGAAGAGTTATATTATGTATCTCCATTAAGTTGCTCTATGTATGTAGGAAATGATCGCCTGAACTGCTCCAGCGGTAGATGTATTCCGGAGGCAGCTTGCTGTTCTACAGCCGATGTGCTGTGTCAGCAGCCATCTTGTTGCGCGGAGCATCCGAGATATGCAAGGCTAGACGGTATGTGTTTGTGTGTTTATTGAATTTGTGGGTTAAAACATTTTGTTATGTTATAATACTTTTTAACCATGTTATTATTAATTGCGATTAGTTTTATAATATTTTGTTATTAATTTGTTTAGTAGGTGAAGAGGAATTTGAGTATCCCCCGCTTACTGAAGACAGACATGCACCAGATGACTACGGGTTCATTCAGTCGACAATATATACGGTCACTGGTGAGAAAGAAATTCCATATAACAACATACAACAATCGTTTTGTCAAAATATGTGTCATTTTTCTTATGTCACATCAAACTTTACTTGTTTAATTTATGATAATCGATATATATCTTCACATATTTTTTTAGCCTGCGCATTAATATTCATGATCGCTGTGGTGTTGCTGGTGTCGGCACTTTGCAAGATGCACATGAAGCGAGCGGCTCTGAGGGGCTATGCGCACGCGCATCGGGACACTGCCCATCACTACTCAGTAAGTATTTTTAATTTGGTACAAGTAAAGATCTCTGTGACAATATTAAATGTTTGATTTGATAATACACAAATTATTACCTAAATATTATTTTAAAGAGTAACATAAGCATTAATAAATATAACTAAACCAAATGTTTAAAATATGTAATAGTTTATGCACAAAGTCACAATACATTACGTCAATTTAATTGATATAACTGACTACTAATAAAAAATAACTTCAGGCCAGATATCCTCCACGGTATGAAGCCACACGACTTCTCGATCTACCCTCACTGAGTCCGACGCGACAACCCAACCAGGTGAGATTTTAACTATTTTTTTATTATTTTCTTTGTGTATGTGTGTACAATTTTATTTTTTATTACTTATTTTAGTGTGAATCTGAGAGTGCCGTTTCCTCCCCAATGTGCGAAGTAACGAATTCAGTTAACTCGAGTTTCGCTCTTTCGAGGTTGGGTTCCATGTTCTGCACGAGGTATTCGCAGGTATGTTAAAATTTATACGTTTACTTCTTTATTTTTGGTTTCTTTTAACCCTTAATGAAATATCTTATAATTAGTACAAGTAGCTTTAGTAATTTTCTTCTAAGTTCAGAGCATTGCAAAGTTTATATTGCTCTAAAATCTTTTAAATAAAACGATACATTACTACTTGTCGACAACCACTTAACACAAACTAACATGAGCACACACAAACACAGAGGCAGACGTTAATATGTCTGCCGCAAGTCATAAATAAACGAATTAAGATTTCTCACTATCAATTATAGAAGGTGATATATGCTACAATATAGTAATAACATTTTTACAGGTTCCCACGCAATGCGATGTGGAAATGACCGACGTGCGATCCACATCACTGAACAGTTCGCCCACTCGCAACCCACCAGTAGACTACCGTTCACCGATCCCCACCTCAGACCTATATTACACAAACCCAGATCTAACAAACCTGGGTAGAGATCTGAACTACATGGCAACACCGATAGAGTTCTTCCGAAGGCGAAATCTGAGACGTAATACCTTAGACAGGGTTATAGACCACCTGACACAGACTCCAAGACCTCTAACCTTGCAACTGGGAAGGTTTCAACTCAGCATCCCCAGGTTCAACAGGCGGGAACCACGCCCCGATACTCCAGATATCGCCGAGATCAATATAGACAATCTAGATTTTGTCAGATTGAACTCCAACGATACGTACACACTAAACGGCAGGACGATTAGGCTCTTAGGCGCGGATTTCGAAAACTACCCGCACTTAGATGCAAATCGCCCACCCCCCTACAACGAAGCTATGAGATACAAAGTTTATGGCCCACCGCCTGAATATTTGAGCAGGGAAGGCATAAATAGGGAAAACGAAGCCACAAATAACATAGAAATGCCGCCATGCTACGACGACTTGAGCGGTCAAATACATAACGGTAACATTCCCCAAAGTAGCGATACAAATAACGGTAACTGTTCGACTAGTATCAGTAATCATAGTAACGGTAACGATACGAACGGTAACGTCACGGATCCCTCCCCGGACGCAAACAGCTGTTATTTGAGTAACGGATTAGAGAGTGTAAATAATAACGTTCCTGAAACGATAAGTTCCGTTATAGATAACTTGCCAGCTATCGACAGCGATTATAACGCTAACGATAACGTTTACAACGACACCGTTATCGCTGAGTAGCGTTGTAACGAATTTATTGATACTAATATTTTTGCCATATATGAATAGATTTTCGATAAGCCTGTGTAAGACAGACAGAAATATTGTCTATCTCTAGTGCCTTAGTTAATAGTTATTATTTTGGTAACAGGTCTTACCTTACATTGATAAATGGAAGTTTAAATTTTATTGCTTTTGAACAAAAGTCATAACATCACAGACATGACAGCACATCTTGTGAGGGCGGGAGAATTTCGCCTTCCATCAAAAAAAAAAATCAAATATTATTGTGCGAGTGTTAATAGTTTATGTTTTCGAATTGACTCAACCAATTTTGATCTACGAATTTCGCTTTGACATTTTTGTGATATCACTGACAATTGATAACACTACACGTTTGTGCACATACATATTATATATATAAAATAGAGAACACATGATTTCCGTGTGTTTGGACGTGACGCTAACGTCCAAATGGCGAGATAGTTTTCGATGAATTTTGCCGGGTCACGTCACTTAGCTTCGTAGCGACACAATAGTGAATCCAGCGTGTTTGTGTTTGTCTTGCCATACGTAAAATCAATGTTGCCAGTTATCACACCAGTGTTGTCATGCCTTTTAACAATACTCATAAAGTGTATATATTCTGTAATGTAGTTTAGTATAGTCAAGTTAAGGTGGCATTTTGTTTTCATTAAATGGCATCACGTTTAGTGGTTGCTAATAAATGGGTCGTTGATTCGATTCCCATCGTGTGTCTAAAGTAATATATAGTTCTTCTGGGAAGAAGAACTATAAATGTGTATTTTAATACACATTTATAAGCTTTTAAGGTTCCACAAATTCAAAAGCCGCAAAATGTGATTCGGAGCGCTGTTTTCAGTCTGTGGATTTCCGATTGCCCAAAGCCCAAATAGGTCGTCATCGCCGCTCGTTCAGATGTTATATGGCTGGAGTATTTCAACTTCCACTAAGCGAATCCCATGTTAGTCTGTAGAAATTTTAATATTAAATGGATGGTGGGAATATCGAAATTTCGTCCGGGTCACGAATCAACGACCACAGATTATAAAGCCGTCAAGTTTAAAATCGCGTTTCTGTTGGCGTCGGGAGACATAATAGGTTCACATGATTTTTTTTTTGGATTTCATCATATACATATATATATTTATTTATTTTTTTCAATTAAAAATACATTTTTAATTCTATCTGAAGCATACAATTTAATTTCACATTTTACAAGATGCCGTCTTGAATGACTAGGGTTTAGTTAAGCTAAATAATAAGATTTGGATTAAGGAAACTTTGTTTATAACATCATATCGCGGGTTCGATTATAGCTCTGTTTTAGTCTTCGTAAAATTCTTATAAGTGATTTATTTACGCGAAAATAACACAGCAATGACTAAGAGAAACTTCTAGTTAGTATAGAAGCATGCGCGAGAAATGTGTCAATAGGTTGAAAAAAATCGACGATGACGTGTAGAACTCGGTAGCTCAATTGGTTAGAGCACTGAGCAACAGCACGGAACGCTGACGATGCCGGTTCAAGCCCTGCCCGAGTCGCAATTTTTTTCAATTTATTTTCGATATTCAATTTAGCGTTCCCAAACGTTATTACGATATTGTACCAATCCGAAATCTACTTATAATAATTTTAAGAGGTCTATTCACTAATTCTAGCGACGATCAAACATATTTTCTTGTAAAGCACTCTTGACAATAATTGTTACACAGACTCACTACGGTTGGCGATTTTGATATTTAGATAGATGTTTTGTCTAATATTGCATTGATAATATTAAATACTATCTGTAGTTTACGCGAATAGTTATTATATAATTACACTCTACATAACACTATACACTCTAACTTTTACACTCTATACACTCTAACTTTTAAATAAAACACTTTAACGGTTTAAAACGCGATATATTAGTTAAACCTATTTGTAAATGATTTTTAACTTCGGCCCGACTTTTCGGATGCTTTGCAGCAGCCGTGGTCACGGGGAGACGACTCGCGTAAACTATAGACACTCTAACTTTTTAAAATGCGAAACACATAATGTATTAGTTAAACTTATTTGAAAATTATTATAACTACGGCCTGATGTTTCTGATGCTTTGCAGCAGCTGACCCGTGACCACGACTGCTGCAAAAGCATAAAAAACTAACGTTAAAGTTTACTCATATTTCGCATTTTAAACCGTTAAAGTGCGTCTTGTCATTCCTCCCAAAGATAAGGAAGATAAATACTGTTACCGATCCATTACTTTACAAACTCCTGTAGCCTCTAACTGGTTCAATTTTTATATATAGATATAGCCCGACTTTTTTATTAAGCCATAAAAAGTCGAGCTGTAGTAAAAAAAAAACTAATAAGTTTCGCATTTTAAACCGTTACTTTTTTGTTACAATTCGTTGGCAAAGGAATTTCAATGGAAAATATTTTAAAGGTCATATTTGAAGTGTTAGGTTGAGAAGACTTATATATATTGAAATACTAGCTGTGACAGCGACTTCGTCCGCGTAGAATTGAAAACATACACAGTGTTGCGGACATGTTTTTAGATCATTCATACATATTTTTTGGGTATCTTAAACCGTTTTCGCACCGTACGCATCTGAAACCCACAGAGATGAAAAATATCCCACGTTTTTTTCACATATCCCGATGTATCTTCGCTTTTATTAGTCACAGCTCAATGTTTTATAGCCTCTATCCTTCCTCGATAAATGCTCTTACCAACACCAAAATAACTTTTGAACTCGAACCAGTAGTTGCTGAGATTAGCGCGTTAAAACAAACAAACTCTTCAGCTTTATATGTATAGATTAGGAAAATTTTCATACCTACTAAAAATATCAAAATCGCCAACCAAAATTCGTAGCCTACTATTAGAATTAAGTCAACATCTCGGAGATAGGGATCTCAAAGGTAAGTGCGAAAAATATGGATCTAAATTGAAAATATAACACTACTTCAGTTTTCGATCGTGAATAATATGTTGAAGTGATAAAATGTGTAAAAAATCCGACCAATGCTTACGATAAGTGTACATAAAGGCTAAAATTGTTAGATTTTCTATTTCAACTAGAAATAACACCGGCTAGAAGAAGCCCGGTTTAAAACACGTTCAAATTTTGACTACGAAGTTAAGTCAAGTACTAAACTTTTTAGCCGGGTTGAAGTTAGCGCGACCACCATCTTACGCATGGTATTGTCAATTTTAAGCAAAAAGTCGTGTCCCCCGCAACCCCTTTGTCGCAACAGATATTATCTGCTTTTTGCGCAGAAGCAACTATCCCGCTAACTTTAGCCCAGCCAAATAGTTCGGGAGAGCACTGTACTCACTAGCGAGCTGTAACGATAATTTGTTTATGATGCGAATGGTACACATTAAATTGCGTAGGTACACACGTTTTTTGCTACAACTTGTGGCATTTTCGATTATGAATGGGTTTGGTAGTGAGTACCTCGCTGAAAAATGAAAAGGCTTGAAGAAATTATTTGAAGTTTTTGAATCGTGTTTTAAGACGGCCTTCAGCTTTCAATGTTAGTTACACGGCTTTCGCACAAGAACGTACTTAATTTTAATTATTCAAAATTTTATTATTTGTCAATTTTCAAATGTATAATCGTGCGAAAATGTGTAAGAAGCTGGGTAACGGGTACATCAGAGGTGTAACGGAGGTTCAATATTTATTATTTCATAATAAATTCTTCTAAATTGAAGGTCAAAGAATGGTATAGTGGCGGCGGTCTGAATCAGCTGTTATGGACAGATTTACATGACGCTCGGAGAACCCCCCTAACTCTAGACACGTAAGCTCTATTGACGAACTTTAAAGATTTTGTTCATGCAATTTACAATTGTAGGGTAGTTCGTTTTTTGATATATCATAATATGCTACTTTGGATTTTAATTCATAAAAAAAACTGAACAATGCTATTTGTCCTAATGTAATTTTCTCTTGCCACCACTCAGATTCGGCCTCCACCTTCGGTTCCGATATAATGACATCTGTTACATCCCTGCTTATATTTGTTTGTGGTGTAATTTTACATTACGCTGCGATCATTTGGTCTGTACCCAGCAAATTTGAAAATTGATCAATCACATGTGATGGAACAACGAAATACAATAAGAAACATATCAAGAGATTTGTTGAATTATGCTTAAATATGTTTGTTTATTTGTTGAGCTATGTTTGGTCAGTGTGACAAATTTTTCAACGAATAAACAATATGTACATTTGAGATTTTGTTCATAATATTGTATCGTTATAGTACAAAATATATTGATGCCTTAAATACCATTGTTAGAGTAATAAAATGTTTTAGATATTATATTTCTTTGGTTTTTTTTTGTGGGCCTCAGGAATGGTAGGATATTTTAATCAGAGTTTTGAAGAAAAAAAAAACAATCTATTTGTCAATGTTTTCAAAATTGTTACAAATTTTATGAAATAATAACTCTGTGATGAAGACTTCGGTTGAAAAAGTGGAGTTACTATTTTCAGTAATAAGTATTTAAAAATAAATGCTTACTTAAATTGGGAAAAAATATTTTTATAGTTAGGGATCGTTCAAGTATTACGTAAGCACTATAGGGGGTGGGGGGGTCTGTGTTTTGCTTATTTTTGATGACATGGGGGGTAGGGGAGTCCAGATGATGATTACGTCATCGATATTTATTTACTTTTTTTACACGACTGGCAACCACCACATTTTTAATTGAAAAATGTTTACGTAAGCACGGGGGGAGGGGGTAAAAGCTTTGCTTACTTTTGCTGACAAGGGGGGATGGGGGGGTAAATAATTGTAATAAATCTGCTTACGTAATACTTGAACGGCCCCTTAAGGAAAATAACTATATTTTTTGAGCTAGGAAGTGGTTATACTCTGGTCTAGGATACAGTTCTACACTAGACAGAGTATTCTTAACTTAATGATATGAAACATTTTTATTGTGAGTGGAGAAAGAAAAAAACAACATACATAAAAATATTTTAATTACTATTATCTACATACATCCACATCTACACATTGCAAAACTATAGTTTTCTATACATCAAACTAGATGGCACTTAACGCTATTTCTATACATATAGATTTATAATATTATGATCCGGAGATAAAAAATTCATTAAATGAAAGGTATTTTAGCTGTCAGTAAAATCGCACTCGTGAGGAACAAAAGTCTATAACTACCCTCATGTCAAAAAATAATACTGCCTTGGTTTCGAAAAAATATATACACGAAAATCTTTAAAATTGTACGGTTTCAAATAAAAAATGCAGATCTGTGAAAACCATCTAAAACTTATAAGTAGGCCGTAACGCTAATTATTTTGTTCTTATATAAACTAAATATCCAGGTTTTACCAGCAGGAATCGAACCTGCGATCCCCGATAAGATCTCCTTATTAAAGCCATTAAATATTTTACATGTATTGTATATGTCGACAATATTATTATTTCAGTATGAAAATTAAGGAATTTGAATTTTTATACTATGCAGGCAACGAATTATATTCTCAAAATTACTGTAGTAATATCTCAAAATTCTTATCACTAATATATTATATATCTAACATTTCATAATATATCTTAACAGTTAGGTAATAACTACGTTTTTCTAATCATCCTCGTTTATCATCAGCGGTAGCAGAACTATTGGAACTAAATATATACAAGCGTATTTTTTGTTTGTTTGTAGTTATCGTGAGTCCAGGTGGTGCAGTACGCCAATGCCCCTAAGCTAAGGGGGGCTCCGTTACCTCATTTTTGAAAAGAGATACGCGTAAAAGAAAATACTAACGTTTATAAATGAACTGATATATTTCCTATCCATAATTTTGGAGGCTCGTGTAAGTACTGTCTGTAGTTTTCGCGAGTAGTACAAATTTAAATAAAACACGTTTAACGGTTTAAAATGCGAAATGTATTAAATAAACTTATTTACAAACACATCGTCTCCCCGTGACAATGGCAGCTGCAAAGCATCCGAAACGTCGGGTCGTAGTTATAATGATTGTAAAAAAGTTTACCACGATTTAAACCGTTAAAAGTGTATTATTTAAAAGCTACGCCGACAGAGAGGATGAGGGCTCGATTGTTTCTTTACGTACATTACTTTAGGGTGCCGGACCTTTGTACACTACCTACGATTCTAAGTATTTAACAACTTTGTAAGTAGCGAAAGTAAATTTTAACTTTTGTTTCAGGAGTCCGTAACGAGCGAAACAGCAGTCAAATATTATATGCATCTCTTTTCATTATTTATTTTTAAATTATTTAACGCCATCTTTTCTTAGGCAATAAAACATCAGAACATCTTAATTCTTAGACAGTTGAAAGTTGATTTCTACATTCTTTAAAAGGAGTTGAATTATTTGAATATCATTAACGTCTTTAAACTTCGTATATCCCACTGGGCGATGAGCACTGATATCTCGCATAGTAGAGGGTTTCAGCTTACCCACCACGCCACTCCAAAGAGGGTCGGTGTGCTACCATCACTAGTTTACGTATGCACTAGGTACCTAGAATGATCACTATACCGACCCCTAGAGTTAGAGAAACGCGAACTCCAAAGTTTTTCAAACCGCCCGATGAAACCTTAAACTAATCTAGGCTATAAGGGACGCCAGATTAATGTCTGCGTAACGCGTTACGTACGTTATGTCATCCCGTAATAAGTTATCACTTTTATTCTATTGTACAAGAGATTTTAGCATAAAGCACAATTATTACGAGAGCTTTTAAATTTGTGACTTTAAAATATTATTTATAACGCGTTATACAAGATTTTCCGTTATAAATAGGGCTCTTTTAAATATATTAATTCTATAGATTTTGATCCAAAGCCAAAATAGGTCAACAGCGCAACTTATACTTGTCTATCTGTCGTCCTCTCTTATAAAAAAAATGTTCAAATAGAGGGAAAATTAAAAATAGATTTTAGCTAGTGAAGTTGTAAGGAGTACGGCAAACTTATATAATATTATATTGTTCTAGTTACATCTGTAGTTTACGCGATTAAATAAAACAATTTTCAATAGATTGCAAATTAATTGTTGAATTACAATAAATAGTTCTCATTTCAACCCGTTTAAAATTGTTCTATTTAACATTTTCCAGTAGGTACACTTCACTGTCACAATAAATGTTTTTAAAATCACAGTTTCAACTTAGCTCCATGTTGTTTGTACACCTTCATTTGTTTTATTTGTGGTTTCCGAGTTAAGTTTGCGGCGGTGTGTCGTCTTCCACTGGCAGAGCAAGCATATTTGGCAGCTTGAAGTGCTGCATGTGGAACGGGGGCTCCGGGCTCGTAGATTGGCGATTAAACTAGGATATCAATAAAATTTTAATATGTAGTGTGGCAACTAATTCTTAAAAGATAGACATATACTGTCTATCTTTTATTATATTTATAAGAGGAATCATTCTTTTATACACATTTTTAGTCTCTTGAACCGTTTTCGCAGCGTACGCATCTGAAACCTACAGAGATGAAAATTTTCCCCAGTTTTGTTCACATTTCCCGCTGCATATTCGCTTCTATAGTCACAGCGCGATGTCTTATAGCCTTCCTCGATAAATACGGTAACCAACAGAAAATTCGAACAGTAGTTCCTGAGATAAGCGAGTTCAAACAAACAAACTCTTCAGCTTTATATATTAGTATAGATATATATGTCTCGGTCATTTTAGGTGGACAGTGGTCAACAGTGGGAAATGTAAAAACGAAAAAATGAAAATAAAAATTCGAAAAAGGAAAATAAAGATTTTTCAAATATGTAATACATATTTGAAAAATCTAAAAAAACGTCCGTTTCACTATGATATATGAATTAAATTTGGTTAAAATACTTCATAAGGCAAACAAAATCGCCAGGCCAGCTAGTTATTTTAAAAATGGTTTTAAGGTGACAAGTATTCGTAAAAATGTTATTAGAAGCAAAAGATTACCAACTTGCGTACTCCGGCCTCTCCTTCGTCGTGGGAGAATTCCTTTTCGCGCCATGAAGAAACTGTAATATAATTATTATGTATACATATAATAGTACAACGCTAGTCTCTAATCTGTGTGTATAACTATTGTGTTGATTCTAAGGAAGAGTCTTTTAGTGTTGAAGTGTTGAAGCCCTATTCCATATCTATTAACGCAGTTTAGTAATCTATGTATATATAGCCTATATTTCTTTAAAAAAAGTTAAAAAGCATAGAAATTTATTAAAAGAGATTATCAATCAAAGGGCTCGTTGGTAATGATAGCAAGGTATAACCAACGTTCGATTCCCATAGTGGCTAAAATGTTTCGGGTTTTCACATATAACTGAAACAAATCTACCCAACAGCCATTTGAGGCTGTGTAGTTTCTGAAAAAAAAGCGTTCAAAAATCAAATAATCGTTAAGAATCAAATATTTGGATTGAATTAGTTTATAACACGGGCAAGACCTGAACCAGCATACACAGCGTTTCGTGCTGTTGCTCTAATCATTTGAGCTACCGTGTCCTACACGTCATCGTCGTTTTTATCCGCGCCATCAAATTTGCGTAAGCGGCGAAGAAGAAATTTGACGATGACATGTAAGGATTTTTTTTTTTCAAATCAAATAACAGATGTTTTTCATCCATATATATTATAATTATATGACAGCACATGAAAAATATTTAACATTTCGAGCAACCGTTTAGTTCAGTTAAATTTCAGGATAGCTTGTAAGAAGTATACTTTCTTTGACGCCATAGATTAGATAGAAGAACCTACCGTATTGTAGATATCGGTATGTTGAACTGCTCCGACACCGTCTGGAAGGTGAGGCCGCGGCTGACGCAATCGGCAGCTTGACGAAGTTCCACTTCGCTGCGCCGGATTCGTTTGTTCATATTAAATTCTGTTCCTTGAGACTGACCTGTCTGTGAGTACAAAAAATAAGTCTACAACATAGCTATTATAAGTAAAATACGGTTCACTTATGGGGCATGGACGTATTTTTTTGGATTTGGATTTATATTAAACTAATGAACTAAATGTGAAGTTAGAAAAAGTACACTGTAGTTATAGATATTTGTGCCATGCCCGACAGAAACGTTTTACTGTTTCCCCGGGATTCGAAACCCAGTACCTCTCGCAACGCAATGCTAGGCAGCACGTTTAACCACTTGGCTACAAAAACAAACATTGAATAATCGATTCTTACAAACTTACAGTTATATAAGTAAGTCACCCAAAACCTTTATTTATAATATGATCTAGGTATAACATGTAATTTTCTTTGGTCACTATATTTGCACAAAACTTTATCTAACTTTGTCGAGCCATTTCTGAGTAAAAAAGTAACAATATCCATCTATTAATTTTTTATGGATTATTGAGCCGTAGTATCTAAATAAAATTGCTGTTAATAATCATTAAAAATCCAGGTATCCAATCAACTTACCGCTTGTCTATCTCCAACGTGTATAACATTGACGGAGGGGACGTATCCTGGACCAATAGTCATGATAGTCGGTCTCACTTCCACGTAAGGACCTGGAGTTTGCGTAGTTGGTGCTGGCTGAAAAACAATTACCACCAAGATAAATTACATGAAGAATCATTTTAATAAAACATTTTTAAAAGAAAGAATTTATATTTTCTACGGCCCGACGTTGCGGATGCTTTGTAGCAGCCGTGGTCACAGGGCAACTGAAGACGGAGGGTGTCACTAATGTCAACATCAAATCTACTACGCTTTTATTATCTACTTGATCAGCAATTAAGTGTGAGCCGTATTGCGTGTGGCTAAAACATTTGCTCGCATCTGTAGCTCAACGCAAAACAGTTAGGCGTAAAAAGACCTAGCTTCAAATCCCGGAGAAACAAAGTAGTCTGATGTACTACTTATAGATGAAATCAATCAGTGTAGCAAAGACAGAAATGTACCTGACTCATACGCACACAAACACGCCCTCCCACACACCACACATACACACACACACACAGCAACCCACACGCACTTTTAATATGTACGTAAAGTTTTACCGTGGAGACCTGTTGTATGATAAAGGCAGGGGGTTCATCTCTCGTGTCATAATTATGGTCTGCGGAGACTCCGCTGGTTCGCACCGAGCTTTCCGACTTTTCTGAGTCACTGCCATCGTATTGGCACTGGACGTTGGCTATCGCGAACTCTACAATATAAAAAAAACCCAAATTATATTTATTTTGCCTAACTTGTAGATATGAAAACTTTAATATTTTTCACATATTATTGCACATAATGGTACTATATAAATTAAAAAAAAAATACGACTCGGGCAGGACTTGAACCGGCAACCACAGCGTTTCGTGGTGTCGTGATTTTTAAAATTTACAATCGATTTTTAATGACTTGTACATAGTTTGATAAAATTTGTCTTGGCAGCGGACAGTGAGAGATGTGATCGTGTGACATACGCAAGTAAATCAATGTCTAGTTGCGGCCAAAGCTTGTATAGTACATATCATAAATAATGCGCGGAAATTAAAACTAAGTATGTAGTACAAAACAGAACTCCAAAACTCTCTATGTTGCCAGTTCGAAATTTCAGATAAACCTTTGGTAAATTACCTCTTTGGTCGCCATGTTGCGGAGTAGATCGTTTCATTTTTAAATTATTTAATAAGTAATTTATTTGGCTGCTAAACACGACAGATATGGAGTTTCATACAACTATTGCCGACCATTACAGCAAGTTCGATGTTTGAGAAACGTATATAACGTATATATTATATTCGAGTATTGTTTTAGATTTCCTTATGTATTAAATATCCCATAAAATTTTAAAAATATCTAATTTTACTCAATAACAAGATTTATTATTAAGGTTTCCAACGATTTAGTGCTTTAAACATAATTATGAGTGAATTATTATAATGTCTAAGTAGAAATGAAATAAAAACATACACGACATTCATCATTTTATTAGTTAATATTAATTTACAAATTCTATAGTATCTGGTATAAATATTGTTAACAGTATCGATAAAATCAATTTCCTTATTAATTCTGTAGAATATCTTTTACAAAAGAAACTATGAACTTATGATGTGAAGAAATAATTACGTCCCATTTTCCCTTCACAGGGCATGGGGCACACATCGTCTATTCCATTGACCAGCTTATTTACAGACAAATTTAGACTTTTATGCTTAACCTTACTTAAATCTTTTATCATGTTGTTTTTCAATTCCGAAAAGCAAGATTACAATACAAATAAATATTAGAAACTTAAGAATAAATTATTTTGGTTTAGACTACTTTGGTTTTCTAGGAACAAATAAATAATACATATATTGCACCGACTAACTTCTGGTATACGTCCTTAATGACAAAAATGGTATAGGTGAGGTGGTATAGTACTCTTTAATTTGGCTAATTCTTATTAAGCAATTAATTTATAATTTAATAGATTGTATAATACCTACAATATAAATGTTTATGAATATTTTATAAGTCTAATAATTAAGAAAATATACCTCGAAATTATGTCTAGACTAGATTATCATTAAAACTATCTAAGATTTAATTAAGTAACATAAATACGAATAATTCGTCGTCCTTTCAATAAATTAAGTAACGTAAATTTAAACACTTTAACGGTTTAATATTAGTTAAACTTATTTAGAAATGAGTGAGTCTCCCCGTGACCACGGCTACTGCAAAGCATCTGAAGCGTCGGGTCGAAGTTAAAAATCATTTCCAAATAAGTTTAACTAATATATCGCGTTTTAAACCGTTAAAGTGTTTTATTTAAATGTGTACTACTCGCGTAAACTGTAGACAGTTTAAGTAACGGATAGTTTAACGAAAAATCCTAATTATTACAATTCGTAAGGAGTTAACAAATGTTGTGCGATTTTCATGAATAAATTGAAAACTACCTTCATTTTTTCTACTTTTAAATACTAGCGTATATTTCGAATACCGCAATATGTCGACATATTTTTCCCTGTTCATCTGCAGCATTTGAGCATTGAGCCCTTTTGTAAAAGAAAGATTCTCTTCAAAGTTCTTATAATGCTGATTACTTGTTTTCCTACAATAAAAAGAGATTGCCTACCGACATCGTTCAAAGTTTACCCATATATAAACTTATCGACTATACTAATACATTTTGGCATATTAAGTACATATGACTTACACATGGCATATGACTTAGACAAACTTACGAAACTATCAAATGGCATATAAAATTTAAATGCATACAAACTCTTTTACACAATTAGTTGTGAAACCATAGACTGTGACTTACTTATGTCACAATGGGGTTACCATAGCTTAAGACTAGCTCAATCATGTTTTGGTGATAGGAAAAACAAATAATGTTGTTTTATAATAGTTGTTGTATCATTAATAAAATGTTGTTTTTTTAATAAATTATCTGGGACTACATGAATTTGGTTAGCTATAATAGCTATAGCTATAATACACTTTGTCTCTTTCTATTGAATTTACAATGTGATTTGCCCGACTGAGACCGAAGATGGGATAGTGAAATTTCATGACTTTCGCTTTTAAGCCGTGGCTGTATGAATAAGACAAGTATGAGTTCAGCTACTTTGTTCAAAAATAAAACTAATAACTGCACATATATCACACATTTAAAGATTATCGTCGTATCTCTCTGATCGTGTCTCAGAAATTAAATCCAGTGGGTCCAAGATCTGCGTCGGTCTACTCGTCCCACGGCGTCCTTTAGAAAATTGACTCTTAATATCGTACTTCTCCATCCAATTCCTCAATGTTTTTCGTGGCACCCCGTACTTATTTGAAGCGGCGTATACGCTATACCCCTTTTTGACAGCTATCAGCGCGTCGCGTAAGTGCTGGGACGAATATTGCTTGTAGGATTTCTCTTGAAACACATCAGTCTCTATGTTAACGATGGCGTTCGGCCGCCTGCCAACGAGCCGCGGTCTCGCGTGCACGTTCAGAGGTATACCGTCCATGTCGATAAAATGTCGGGTCACAATTTCCGTAGACGTCCGCACACCTGCAAGCGAGGAAAAGAAACAGCCCTTTAGTAATTTGGTAGAAAATTGTGGCAACACCGAAATGTCATTTTTGACAGATTTAGAGTGGGGGCGTTTCTTTTCCTGGCTTCCTACAGGATAGGGGTGGGACGCGTGCGTAAAAAGCGAGGAAAAGACGCTCTAGTAATATGTACACAGATTATAATTTTAAACGCGTATCTGTACTTAATTGCGATACTATAAAATTCGAAATAAAAACACAATTCTGCATACATATAAATATTTATTGACTTCCACAATTTAATATAGACTAACATTAATAACGGGCGGAAAGATATAATAGCCGATTCGTAGGAAAACATCCAAGTGTGAATAATATCAAAAATGGCTCAGTTAGAGATCAGAAACTTTTTTAGTACGTAGTCGATCCCCGATCGACAAGATGGTGTAATGGTCGAAAAGATATATAAATTTGTATGGCAGCAACACTGTTATATTGCATGTCCCACGTCCCAGAGGTTCGTTCCATATTGAACGATGTATTTTATTATTAAAAACATATATAGGCGTGGGTCGCCTTGTATCCTTATATCCTCCTTCAGTGAATTAGGCATATGAGAATTGACAAATAATTTAACTTCAGTAATCTTGTACAGTGTGAAAACCAGGTAAATGTTAATTACATACAATTAAAGACAAAACAATTAATACTGTGACAAACATTTAGTAGTAATAACTATTTTTAATTATTATAACAAATAAAATAACAAATCTACTAATTATTACAATTTTTGGTACTTCTGATTAAAATACGAACTTTTGAAATCCAAAACGAAAAAAAAACTGTGACGTCTTAAAGCGTACATGTATAAGTACATAATATATATCTACAATATTTGGGCTTACTCTAACATTATGTATATGTTATACATCCTAAATAGGCACTTCTTGGCTTGCGGGCAAAATTTTCTACGAAATATTTATAACAGTCAACATTGACGCCGTTTATTCCAATTTTAAAACTCTACTTAACACAATATAATATTTAGTAGAATACGCCCTTAAAATAGTAGAAACTAAACACTTTGAGGCTCCTATAAGGATACATTAAGATAATTAATTAATATACCGGTCAATGAAAGCAATAAGATTCATTTAAATTAAATTTCCAACATATGTAAAACTAACCGCACTATTAACTGGTTTAGGATAAAGAGCAGACGCATTTCTGTGTCTGTTTCTTGATCAGTTCGAATTATATCCTCCTAGAAGCCTGAAACTACACTGCTAAAGAAATATCATTTAGGAACACGGGGTATAGTTTAAACCTTAATATTACCTCTGCAATTGTAGACTTGAACAAACTTGCAGAATTATAATATTAAAAATATTAAATAATTGAAAAATTAAGGCCTTTCTGTATCAAAATTAAGTACAATAAATATAAATTTCTTAAAATACAGCCACAGCAACCGTATACATGTTTTCTTAGAATAAATACTGTACTTTAAATTAATGAAACAAAAAACGAAAAAGCCAATGTTAAAAGAACTTTAAGTGTTGTTTTTTAGAATCACTTAAGTCCAAATATCACTAAAGTGTATTTTTAATTGCACAAATGATTATTATAAATTTTAAGACGTAACGGACACATCATTTTTCCATTTAAATATTGTTAGAATCTAAATTACTATAAATATAATATATCGAAAACTTAAGGGCTGCTGCAACATTCAATTATGATTACAATACTAAGATTTTAAGTCTTTTATTTCGACGGACAAGGTCCCGACAAGCACACAATAAGGCCAAATTTCACATTTACCTAAAATTAAGTCTTACTTTGGTAACACTGAACATTTAACATACTTTCCATTTTCTGTGAGCGATCTAAATCGTATAATTGCCAGTATTAAATTTTGACAACAAAATTTAGTAGAAACCAATAATTGTGTAAGTAAGTTACCATCTTGTAATTTAAAGTGTAAGAAATTCAATGTTATTCAAACTGACCGCATATTAAATAACTACTACTATATTATTATTATATAACAACTAAGCCAAAGCTACCAAAATGGTAGATTTTCACTGGCATCAGTAGCCAAGCTGTGTATTGCACGATTTATATAGCCGGTGTATTTTTACTGGGTAGAGATATTTTACTAATAATAAAATTAAATAATAAATATTACATTTTATAACTATCCAGTTAAATGTTAAATACCTTCGCGGGCTTTCTTTGGGAATATTGCAAAAACAATCTTAAGCGACATAAAGATTTATCCATAATACAATTTTAATAAATATTTTCAGCCACTTTAATCTTTGGCAGCCATTTTGTATCATATAATAAATACTTTAAAAACCTGGTGACAGAAAATACTTTTATCACTACAAACGATTAGAAACACGCCAATAGACAATCAATTGAAATATTTATCATACGATACCGCACTTTGGTAATAAGTCAAACTTTAATTTGGCATTATTTATAACATAAGGCAGTTCTTTGGACGAACAATTTTAAGTACTCACTTCCCATACGTTTTGAAGTTTTATATTCACTTCAATTTTTTTTATATTGTTACTCTAGGTCTAATCTGTGGTTCCAGGAAGCAAAATTAAAAATATATGTAATTAAGGTTTCAACCGAACGTATAGCTAGTAGCTACAAAGCCTTTAAAAAGCAACCGATATTTGTATTATAATATTATTATGCACGACAGAACCATATAAATATTATTAAAAATTGTCTATTCTATTTGCTAACTCAAGTATTGTGTAAATATAATTTCAAACAAAAACTGTCCTATTCATGCATTGACATATTGAGAGCGGTGTTGCCATCGATTTTGGTAGTTTCATTTTTACCACTCTCATCCTCGCTTGACACGTGTGACGAGAACAAGAAATGTTTTCCAAAATCTATTTCAGGGTCAAAATTGGCATCTAAGTCATTCTTTTCAATGTTCTGTGGCTCGGGGTTGTCAATCTTGAACTCCCGTTGTTTCTTGCTGTTTTCAACGAATTGTTTTAGTTGCTGTGGCATTGGGAAGGAGGATTTGATGTGGCAACGTTTCATCCAGTTTCGTAGTGATTTTCTTGGTACTTTATGGGTTTGTGCTGCCCTGCAAAAAGAAAGTAAGTAAGTAACTTTTGATATACATAATGTAAAATGAAACAATTTGCATAAAGGTAAAGTACTTTTGCTCACTGAGAATTACTTACCTATATATACTCCCCCCCTTTTTAACATCCATTAGAGCAGCCCACATGGCTTCGTTAGAATACCGTCTGTTTGGATTGAATTTTCCCATCATTACCCGTTCCAAATCCTTTCTAGACAAGCCTGACGAGCTAACTTCCTTCCCCTCCAAGAACTGATCCAAATCCGCTTTCAAAACTGTGTCGCCAATATCAACATTCTTGTCTTTGAAAATTGGTGGTCGACCGCGTCGACGAATCGCTTTATCCGAGATCTTAGGGTAAACCTCTTTACTGCTATCTTTAGGTCTTGGAATAAGTTCTACTTCGGATTTTTGGTTTTTAGCTTCATTTTTCTTTTTCGTTTGATTCGCTTTAAGCAGTGAAACTTCTAATTCACCATTTTGTTCTAACCATGATTTGTAGTAGTCATTTTCTATGGATTTTTGTATGAAGTCCTCGTTCATATTTGTAATACCATATTTCGAGAACTCGTTTTGTATTTCAGATGGACTCATTTTTGATAATCTGTTGATATATTGCGAGTTAGCTAGATTCTGTAACTTCGTTTGGAAAAAAAGTTCACTTTCTGGTTTGACGCGTAGATAGGGTTTGCGTCCTGAAAATAAGAAGAGAAATTAATTGCGGTCTAAATTACCGTGAACCATGAATGTAGTAATGACAAATGACATGTCTGTAAGATAAAAATAAACCAAAACAAAAAATGGCCGTAATCAACGCGAAAACTTGAGGCGATATAAAAAAATAAAGAAAAGCTTCTACTTCATTCATGGTTCACGTTTCTACTAAAGAGCTACCAAATTCAGTGTTGCAATACTATAAAAGTTGGCCTACCTTACAGACTGTCATTATATCTTGTCATTAGTCAATGCCATTCACAATATGATCTTCACTCACTTAAACCCGACAAAGACGCGTAAGTATTTATTTAAAATATATAATAAAAAGTAAAACAAAAACGCAAGTGACGAATGAAGTCACATTGCAAATAAACATTGTTTGAAAATAAAAAATAAATAAAAAAATTGGAACACAAAACTTACCAGAGGTCTGTCCCAGGCTACTTCCAGGTTTTCCGGTCTCTTCTTCCTGTAACCGAAATCGTGAGTTACTAAAACACTACAGAACCTCAAAACAAGATATGAATCATAAGAATCTAATTACGTTAAAGAAATTCAACGTATGCCCAAAAAATAAAATTAAAATTGTAATTTTAAAACCACATCTATCATTTTTAACAGTTAAATAGTAACAAATCATTAAACATGTTCTAACTAATCGTAACTTAGTAGGACTTATCTTTCACAAAAATTACCAATCAGATTTTGATGTAACTTAAAATGAAAAATTAATTATTTATCACATGACAGTTAAAAATAATAATGAAGCTACAAACTAGACTTATTTTTACTTCAGATTTCAAGTTATGGCGTGTGAAAGATCTTTGTTAGTTTTATATGAGGCTGCTAGAGGCAGAGTGACCAAATAACAAAAAACATGATTTTCAATACGGAGGAAAATAAAAATGCGCAATTAACTTAGGCGAAAATGAATTTATGAATACTAGCTGTGCCCGCGACTTAGTCCGCGTGGAATAGTGACTTGGGATAGAATTTGTAATTATTTACGCTGTTTATTAATTGTAAATGTAAGAGCGCATTTAAGGCAGACCTAAGACATCTATGTTGTTAGAGCTACTTTGCCGCAACACTCTCACCTCACATCACTACTAACTCCCACTCTCATTCCTACATTTACTCCCGCTCCTATTTCCAAAAAGCCAAAGAAGAAAGATTCATTGTTCTAGCTTCAAAAACCACTGTATTTCATCATACAAACTTTCATCCCCATTTTCAACCCCTATCAACCCTTATTTGGCACTAAACAGTAGCATATGTCCTTTCTTAAGGTCTTAAAATGTCTGTGTACCAAATTTCATTTAAATCAGTTCAGTAGTTTAGGAGTTAAAGCCGGACAGACAGAGTTGCTTTCGCATTTCTAATATTAGTACAAATTTGTGTAAGAATTATGTTAACAATTTTCTGTCAATGTGTTCTTCTAGATTAACATTTTTTAGATTATAAATAACTCAAGTCATAAAAGTAGCGGCCTTACATTATGTTGCTCAAACTTACCTCATTATATTCCATATTATCCTGATCTAGTTCGCCATAATAGAGGCCATCTTCTTCCACCGTCTCTTCTTTCACATCTGAATTCCGTTCCCTCTCTTCTGACTTTCGCTTCTTCGGTCCATTGGTTGTAATCGTCTTCTGCTGCTGTTGGGTTTGCTGTTGGCCTACAGATGTAAAGATTTTCTATTGAACTTCTGAATTACCATAACATTATACTTAAATATAATTCGCGTTTGAGCCACAAATATAGTGCACTAGTTATGCCAGCGGCTTAGTCCGCGTAGAATAATTATTCTTGGGCATTAAAATTTGTTTTGTTTGCAAGTTATATACAATCTTTAAAGATATACATATACTTTCGCAGACATTTTATAGATCATTTAAAGAGGAATCATTCTTCAAAAGTGTATACGGAAACACTCAAAGATTTTCCCACATTTCCCACTGTTTTTTCGTTCCTATTGGTCGAAGAGTAATGTTTTTTAGCCTACAGCTTTCCTCTATAAATGCTCTAAAATTTTATTTGTAAAAAAAATTGATTGCCTACGTGTGTTTCTTCAATAGATTTTTTAACTTCTACTAAAGATTGCAACTCCTTATAGATACATGTAATAAAAGCAAAACATACCATTAGTATTCTCTCGCTGCGCGTGCGCAAGCAACGCTTCACTCGCGACTGAATAGTCTTTATTGTCGGTTTTCAGTTCGGACAGTGAGCCCGGCTCACTTGAACACAGACCTAGGGAAATTAATGGTTTCTTAAAAAATAAACACATTTCCATAAGAATAAAATAATTAGAAGTCAGTATAAGAAGTAGATATAATTAAAGATAAAGGTAGGTTTTGGCTTCGGAATTTATATGACTAAATAACATACATATGTTATTTACGCGAGGAGTACACATTTAAATAAAACACTTTAACGGTTTAAAACGCGATATATTAGTCTCCCCGAGACCACGGCTGCTGAAAGCATCCGAAACGTTTATCGTTAGCGTTTTAAATCGTTAAAGTGTTATATTTAAATTTTAGCTCTTTCTAAACATTGTTTTTTGTACTTTAACACGCTTGTCAAGCACGACTTGGCAAATGTATCTCAAACACAAAGAAATATGGCTAGGGCAGAAATGATATGAAATGATAAGGAAGACATGGGGTTCCCGTGGGAGATGAAGTACCCCAGCCACCGGGTCCACCATGCTTCAGAAAAATTACAAACATGTTGTACCGGTGGGGATCGAACCCACGAACCGATGATTGTTAGTGATACCTTGGTACCTTTACCAACGGACCCGTCACGAAAGTAAAAGGAAAATCTGAAGCAGAAAATCACCTCTGATCTGCAGAGCTTCAGCTGACTTCAGCAAACTTGGCAACTCCTCTTGAGTGACATTCACTTCGCCCTTATACATGAAGTCTACCAAAGCTTGCATTTCACTAAACCTGGTACATTGAAAAAAAATATATTATTATCTATACTAATTAATATATGAAGCTGAAGAGTTTGTTTGTTTGAACGCGCTTATCCCAAAAACTACTGGTTCGAATTGTAATTATATTGCTATCAAACTATCTATCTACGCTGTGACAGTGTGTGTAGATAGATACGGGCCGAAGAAACAGCGGGAAATGTGAAAAAAATAATCATCTTTGTGGGTTTCCAATGTGTACGCTGCGAAAACTATGTATAAAAGAATAATTCCTCTTTAAATGATTCATTTATTTATGGTCTAAATAATTCGATGTGTATAATATTACTTTTTTTTTGTGTATTGTTTAGCTTTGCATGAACTGTACGTTCCCATGACATAACTTATTTCATTTTACTCAAGGGTTGCCTGGAAGAGATCTCTCTATAGCGATAAGGCCGCCCATTGCACTCTATAACTGGTGAGAATAATGTATCTTTAAAAATTGTATTATTAAGAATATTTTAAAGGAATCCTGTATATATACTTTGTGTTTGTGTGTGTTGCAATGAAGAATTAAATAAATAAATAATGTCTGCGACAATATGTTTTAGATTGAAATTGACACGATAGCTCAATTGGTTAGTACAACAACACGAACGCTGTAGATACCAAGTTCAAATCCTGCCCGTGTCATAAAATTATAATATAAATATATTGGCTCTATCCAACGTACACTACTATATTATTACAGTACGTATGTAACTCATCTTAGAGGACACGATGACACTGTTATTTATATAACTTGATGACAATCTTATCGTGATGCATAAGGTAAATGACATTTAAATCGTCATGAAATGGACATCGCTCGTCCGCGACACATTATCATCGACCTCGCCGTGTGCTCAGCTGACGTCTTAAGAACATAAAATGTTAGAATTAAAAAAAAATGATCATTTTCACGCAAACACACGAAATAACAAAAGACGATCAGCCAATCATCGAGCCAAAAGATCGGGGAAAGCGTGTGTGCGTGTGTGTGTGTGTGTGTGTGTGTGTGTGTGTGTGTGTGTGTGTGTGTATGTGTATGTGTGTGTGTGTGGGCAGAGATATTGTTTTATATGATGAAAAAATATACACACTGTAACTGTGTTCTACTAGGCTAAAAATTTTTCGGGAATCAAACAGTTCGAATTGGATCACAATATGAAGGCCAACTGTCTATACGTACCTCATATCTCTCATAAGAACGATGGGGTGCTTGCAGGGGTTCTGCAAAAGCAGTCTCTCCAGGTAAGCGGAGCAGGCGGACAGAACTAGCTTGTGGCATCTCAACTGGCGGGACTCACACGCGAGCGTGACGTCAGCGAATTGTTCAGTCAGCAGCAGCCGAGGGAAAACGGACTGCAACATATTATCACCTTAGATCCATTCAACGAGTGTGACGTCACTATTGTGATAAGAACGTACTGATACTAGCAACGCCCCGCGGCGTTATATGTGGCTATAATATATTAAAATGTGTATTACTTGGAGCGAGTGAGTAAAATATAAGAATAACGCTTGTAACGGTTTGAAATTCGAATTACAATAGCAATATTAATATAGGTTAACGGTTTAAGACGGTGTCCCCCCGCGACCACGGCTGCTGGAAAGCATCCGAAAAGTCGGGATGTAGTTAAAATAAATTTAAATAAGTGTTACTAATACATTACGCGTTTTAAACAGTGTATTTTACTTAAAGTCACTGCTGCCACAGAGCATCCCAAACGTCGGGTCTTAGTTAAAAAAAGTACTTTGCGTTTTAAACCGTGAACATTGAAATTTAATGAATTATTAAATTGTGTACTAGTCGTGTCATCTACAGACAACACTCAAATATGGATTCTTTTTTAAAGTTTAGATTTAAAACGATGATAGTTTAATACCGACTGTAGTTTACGCGAGTAGTACCTATACAAATAAATATAACAGTAACGTTTTAAAACGCGATGTATATTGGTTAAACCTATTTGAAAATTATTTGCAGAGAAGTCTCCTCGTGACCACGGCTGCTGCAAAGCTACCGAAACGTTGGAAACGAAATAAATTTAGTATTTATCGCGTTTTAAACAGTTAGTGTTTATTTAAACGATGATACTTGATAACGACTAAGTATTAGCATTATCTATTAAGAATGTAGTAGTAGGGGGGTAATAAAATTGAGAATTCCTCACCTGCAAGTTGGTATGGTACGAGTTCCACCGCACACAAAACTGTTGCGGAGGCAGCGCCATGTTCGTCTCCATTTAACCACAGATAATTAATGTAATAACATATTCTATAATCTTTGGCCGATAATGTTTAGTCAATTGCACGAGTCCAAGGAGGTTTTATCACAGATAATATTTAATACACAATAATATAAGGTATATGTAAGTACAAAGAATACTCGATAGAAACTTTAAAGACTAGATTTCATTAAATACTGGTGCTTCGTTTGAATTCAATCCTGAAACAAACAAAAGTACTGATATTAAATATGTTAGACGGAATCGTTCGTCTAATGGTAGCAATGTATGGATTATAACCAACGGGTCGCAGGTTCGATTCCCACCGGGTCCAACATAAATTTTCAATTTATGATTTTTCTGAAACATGTTGGACTTCGTCTGGGATCTGGTTATTGGTGGTAGGAATATCGATATTCTGTCCGGATCACGAACCACTATCCACAAATGAAAGCAGTGAAGTTTAATGGCGTTTCGGTTGCTGTCTATGGATTTCCGGATATCCAAAGCCAAAATAGGTGTTCAGGGCATCTTGTTTAGATGCTGGGGGGGGGGGGGGGTTCCACCTACCTAAAATTTAGACTGTCTCAAAAGGCGTATTATTGTCTGAATGATTTCTTTAATGACAAGATCGCCTGGCAGTAATATGAATTGCTCCTTAGGTTAATAAATTCACAACAATGTATTAGTTTATAAGACATGTTAAGAAAAGCCGGACTGAGTTTCTTGGGTGTTCTCCTCAATTATGTTGTTCTTTGAACACTCTGTAGAATCACGACAAGTATTTTGATCAAGTGAGTGAAGGTTTACATCAAGTAAATTCCGTGTTTGCCTATCCACCTCTATCATTTAAAAATATATATTTATAAGTAGAGACAATAATGTATGACATATCATACTTATAGCTCATACATTAGATCGTGGATATGTTTAAAATATTATTGTAACTCGAATCTGAGTTGGTTATTATATAAGGATGTGTTATAGTTTTTAATTATAATTTTCACAATGTTTATAGGCATGCGAGCGAGTAAATATTACGAGATTGAAAAAAAAAAGCACGGGCTTTAAGCTACGGTGTCAAGAACATATCAATTTTTTATCTAAAACTGGATTTCAAGAAATAAACTTAAAATATTGGTAAAGAAAAACTATTATATTGAAGTTTCGTAGCTAACGTGCGACTGGACTCTAAGAACGATATGCGTGTTAGCCGAATATAAAACTATACATTTTTCACGAAGTTTTTCCTAATCTAGTATTAAAACGCATATATAAATAGCTAAGGTACGGAACCTTTCTTCTTATAAACAATATAAAATGCTCACTATTCATAGCGTACCAGGCCACAATGAACACTAAAAAGGTATACATTGAAGTGATTGTATTATTTATCAATTCGGTTATAATAATGTCCCGTTGGTTCTTCTCAGATACAATTCCAGCTCAGGTTCACGAGCTATAACTACCGTTTAGGAAATTTATCATTGGAAATACGGAATTGAATTTCCGTATGACCCGACATTTGAACCCGATCATAATTAATATATATAAATAATCTTTTAAATAGCACTATCGCTGGTTAAAAGATCTTTTTTTTTAATAATAGAGAAGGAAAAACAAGCATGAGGTAAGATAAGTGAAATAGCCCAGTCTATAGCGTCTAAATAAGATGTGCCATCGACCTATTTTTGACTTTGGATATTCGCAAATTCACAGAACCGAAACGTGTTTAAACTTTACGACTTTTGTATCTGTGGACGGTGGTTCGTGGCCCGGACGGAATTTCGATATTCCATTTAATATCCAGATTTTGAATTATATTTGCTTACGCATATAGCCACTGTAGAATAATTTAAACGTAGCAACAATTCTTCGCATAAAAAAGACCTACAAAGGGACCAGCGTGTATTGATTTTCAGAATAACTTTTTTGTTGCAAGGGGATTTTCCGACGGGCCGCTATCTCTTTCGCGCATAGTATAATTAATAATCTATCTCACTCTGTTACTTAGGTGTGGTATATCGTTTTGTTATGAAATTGCAGATATAAGGGGTCTGGTATTGCTTATGATATCGTACCCAGCCATTTTATGTACCTACCCTCGGTTAAATACCGTAAGTAAAGGAGATTAAATAAATAGAGGAAGACAATTGGTATTATTGTTAACTGCAATCAGATTTTTTAATTATTTAGAACGGTCTAAACAAAAAAAACTCGTTCGGGATTAGAACCAAAGACCACACTGCATCGTGCTGTTGCTACAGTAATTAAGCATGTACCTCCCTCAAAGAAAAATCTTCAAATCGAAGGAATACCTTAAGTAATCGGCAAACGGAACCTCATAAAATAATTGATAATAAAAAATAATTAAATAAAGAGTGGAATTATGGAGAATATAATAATATCTGTCTTTTTCAAATATAGAAATTGTTATTACTTTTACACAAAAGTAATAAAATAACTCGAGATGTCGCCATGAACACTTTCAGCTCTAAAAACTCCACGAATTTCCATCCAGTAAGACGCGGTGAGACATCGCCGCGAGTCATAACTAGTAGCTAATAAATATACATTTCAGACGCTACCAAGAAGCATGGTCTGGCCTCAAAATGTATCCGAATATAGCCCAGCCGGGGTATGGACCCCCGCTTTGGGTTATTTTGGTCGCGCCCCTAAGGTCAACGGCCGACAGACCCTCCAACTTTGGCGTCTAGTATTTTAAATTCAAATTGGGTTCGATTTTCGAATTTTAAATCTGGAACTCGGGTTGTATATGGTTTTAACGGCGCAAGATATTATTATATATTTTTGTGTTACGTAAATTGTTTCGTGAGATATATACGATCTATAATTCACTCTACAGCATAAAAAAACAGGGCTTGTATGCTATTATTTTACAAATATTGAGATCTTCAAGTATTTCGAAAATTTTGCGAAATAGATATACCTATCATGTTTTGACCACTACAATTTTGTTAGTACCTAAGTATAGTGTTATATTAAGGTACATATACAATTTACCACTTTTAATGATTTACAATTGCCGGGTGACAAATCTTTCAATGTAAATTACTAAGTATTTAAATAATGTAATGTCTACAGATATAAATTCCATAAAGCTGATTAGCGCCATAAACCATAGAATATGATAATTGTCGAATATTTGAACTGAATTAAAATATATCAAAGTTTTATGGAAAAAAAAAATAACGAAAGCATTTGAGTACGAATCGAATATCGCTCACAAGACAATCTAATGAAAATAAAAATTCAAAACAATAAAGATTGAATTGCATTCGTTCATGTTGCGTTTGAGTCATCAAAACACTAGATCCTTATCATAGGCAGCACCAAAGTACCGCCTCTGAAGATCAATTAATAGTAGTAGTAGCTTAAGAGGTCCTTATAAAAAAAATATTTGAACAGGGCAAAGAACTTTTATCAACTAGATATTGGTCTGTGAATAAAACATCTCGAAATAAGTCTGGCCCAAAAAGCACGTAGGTGTTCGAAATTTGAAATAGCTAAAAAGGTGATTTTACGAAGTCCTGTGGTTTGCTAATTCACGAACAGTGCGAATCAACACTTCTCAGTCGGGCAACTGAATGAAAATTCCAATTTAACGATATTTTAATGTTTTTTTGTATCGGCAATAATTAGCCATTATATTATTACAAATTGAGGTTTGAGGATCGATAGGCAAGTGATAATACCAAAATCACACATCAAAGTAGATGATATACTGAATATAATGTTAAGTAGGTTTTAATTACTCGCTTGAAAAACTTAAGCCGTTACGGGGCTACAGACATATTAAATTACTGAAAAATTACCGTAATTTTTTACTCAAGTACATACTTAGAACATCTCCATATAAACGCTTTACTGGATCTAAAGCAGGTTATCTTCAATCAAAGTTAGAAGTGAATCATTTACAGGGGAATTACCTTAAATTTTGTAATCCTAAATTAATTGCTAGTTGATCTGGGAAACGTTCTTTTGCCATCTGAAGTTTTTTTTACCAAATTTGATAACGATTTTTGCGAGTTTATCTCAAAAGATAGGCAAATACATTTTTATACGTTTAACCACGGAGCCACGAAGGCTAACAGGTTTAATCATCTTAAAATCGCCCGGCATTATTTGTCAATTAGTTTTCGCGTGAAACACAAACGAACAAAATTTAAGTATTAGAATATCGTCAATGTAACATTTTACAAATTAACAATACTATAGAGCTATACACGTTTATTTTCTAGGTCAGTATATTATTGTAAAGTCTAAACAAATGTTACATAATGTAACGTCACGCGTGCTTATGAGTGGCACACAGAAAAATAATTTAACGATAGTAATCTAGAAATCGTTATTTCTTCACGGGCAATTAAGAAAAATCCACTTAGGTAGTTGTAATCAGGAAAAACTGTAACTGTGTTGGGGTCGTGTCAACGTTATTTTTAATAGAGTAGGTAAGTTATATCAATTAGACGATTACTGTATTTAGAGCGCTATAAAAATATTTATAAATTATACGACGCCCAATCTCGCAAACGGATGAACTCATTTTGATCTAGATTTTATAAGAGCCGTCTTGATGTAGCTAAACGAAAATTTTATATTTTTGAGTTGAGAAATTCAGAAGTTAAAAGGTCTAGTTGAATATTAATATATTTTAAATAGGTAATTCGCGGTTTCACATAGAAAACGTTGCCAATGTGGTCGTCTTATCAAAAATATTTTTATAGCGAATATTGGTGGGAAATGTTTTTGCTTGGCCTGTAAAAAAGGCTTAGCAAGATAATAATAATCTATTTTATAGCAAATAATAAATTTGTATAGTTCAGTTCTTTGAAAAATTCACGAAACGTGCACGTAATCTCAAGGGTCTCAAAAGGTTTATCTAACAATCTTAGATATAAAACAGGTCCTCTAATATCTTATCAACAAAGTTTCATGGAAGAATAAGCAAAGGCTTGGTCACGATAAAATTCGTCTCAAATGAAAAGAAAAATTCTGAATAAAGATAACTGGGAAATTCATATTTTAAAATATGTTCTTTTTTTAAATCACGCTTAGAAAACTCACCCACTTTAAAATGAAATTACCGACACTGGCCTTAAAACACTTGCACTACGCTTGGATGTAATGGTTTAAATAATTTGAGCGCAGCATTTGGTCCTTCCCAAAATAGTACAGGCCCCAAGTAATGTTATAAACATCACTGACTCAACACACACGCGAACAAAAAATAATCAATATTTAAACAATTACTCAAACCTATGTTTAGATGAGGTCAAAACACGTCAAGAAAAATGGTCGACGGACCATCGTGCGCTGAAATGTGACTTTTCATGAACACAAACAAGAAAATCTAATAAAATCCATGTACTTACTGTTCGGATGATGTCGCTACGTATGGAATTAGCTACGTTGTGTTTTTTACTGATGAAAATCAATAAATTTTTAAGAGCACGGAATTTGTTCATATTTTTCCATCGCGGGTCCCGCTTTTCTCTCGCAGAAAAACGTATCAAGAAAACTGTGTGCGAGCGAGACGGCCGTATGTCCCAAATTGTAAATAATGACAGTCATAACAAACGAACGAGACGGAAAATGGCCCCACAAATTTTATTACGTAATTAGGTGAAAATTAAGGTAGATGCATTCGTACTTACCATGCACTGCGATGTTTGAATTTACAAATTATTAACATTGGTTGGTTTAAATGCGTTTAAAACATCGCGTTTGCATTTTGACGGCGAGCGACCTCCCGTCAAACGGCCGCCATTTGCAATTTACGCGTCCTCTTGGCTATTGCTTGCCCTCAGGCCTCCTCATCCCTCTCTTCGTAGTGTTACCATTTCTCTTTTATAATCTACAACATTTTAGCAAAAAAAGCGTAATATATTATAAAAATATTAATCAAGTTTGTCACAATTTTGTGTATTGAGTATTATTTTTTAATTTTAGACACTGTGGTTCCAAAAATTGGAGAATAAAATCAAACTAAAGATCGAGTATTATAAAATTTCCCATTCGAATACAAAAGGACAGCAAATCTAAAAATAGGAACGTATTGAATCTATTATGCAGTTTTAATGCTTATTAGTATTGTCATGTTTGCAAACCGAGAAACAGAATTTGACACAATATTATATTTGTTATATACTTGGCAATATTATAAATGAGAGGTGACAGTATAGGAAACTGTAAAGGAGCGGGAAATATGAAATACACTTTGAGAAGTATGAGATATTGAGATTCTTTTTTCTTGCCGTATATATTAATTTTATTAGGAACCGCAGTGCGCAGGAGAGAAAACATGTTGCATAATCTATATTTAAAGTTCCTAAGTTTCATATATTTTATACAAGATTGTGAAGTAAAAATGAATTAAACATTTAATCGTTATTGTTTTACGCTTCGCATTTCTTTTATGTAGCACAATAGGGAGTGTAAGCCGGCTCTGTAGCTAAATGGTTACCTAGCATTGCGTTAAGCGCGAGAAGTTCTGGGTTCGAATCCCAGGGAAACAGTTCATTGTTTCGGTCGGACAGGGCACAGAAGTCTGATCAACTACAATGCGGTCGACGTAACTTGGCAAGCCTAATCTAAGCGCGAAACGTTCTTTAGGATGTTAACGGTGGTCAGAACGAGGGACGCGAGACGAAGATCTAGGCTAGTGATTGACTCAATGTCAACACAATCGACCGCTTTTTCTATCAAATTTTGTAATTGATTTAGATTATGGATTTTAACATACATGCGCCATAGTTAGTCTAACCTCTGTTCAGGCGTGCTAAGTTACGTCGGCCGTATTATACTCGCCTGTAAATAAAACCGATCAGTGAAACGGATTTCACTTTTTCAATAGGGAGTGTAGTGCCTTACCATTTTTATGTGTTCCGTCCTTGTCATGGAAGTGCTATGTACCTTACAAAATAAATAAATTTAACCACAGATAAAATAAAACAGCAGCTGACACTTTTAGTATTTATTGACAGACCATAGATAATATTGCATAGAGTACAGATTAAATCTACAATGTAAGTATATCGGGGGTGGCATTAGCGAGCAAGTCTGCTGCACCGGCGGCTGCCGAACACCATACATCCAGTCTCTTGGCTAGGGCTCCCGCCCCGCTTTTACCGAGGGCTCTTGCACGGACCCAACTTACATTCACTGTTTGGCTCACCTGTAGAAAAAAAAGTGATAAGATATGTGACATCTAAATAGAACTAAATACTGTCTTTAAAGCGAGTAGTAAACATTCATACAAAACACTTAACAGTTGGAAACGTCAGGCCTGAGTTAAAATAATTTATAAATAAGTTAAACTAACATATTTTTCGTTTTAATCTGTTGAAGTGTTTTATTGAAACAGCTAAACTATTAAACCGTAATCCTGTTTGACTTCAAAGTTCAGTTTTCTGTGGCTATATCGATAAAAAAACAAGACAAGCAAGTTTAATAGTCTGCGGGATTGAAGAAAACAAATCTGTTTCTCTGAACCCTCACATTTAACACATTTCAAAGCAATACATTTTACAAAACAGTAACAGTAGTATCTATAAAAAAAGTTTTTTTTTAATAATAAATATATCTATTATAGATTGATTGCGTCCGCGTAGAATAGTTATTTTGGATTTCAAAATTTGTTTTGCAAACTTTCTCTTCAGCTTTAACTTTTAATGTTAAAAGAGGGGCATCGCGGATATTTTTTAGATAATTTAAAGATAAATCATTTTTTCATGCATCTTCTTAGTTAACTTGAACCGTTTTAGCAACGTACGCATCGGAAACCCACCAAGATAATTAATTTTCGTTTTACAAGCAGTTTCTTCTCACCTATAGTGAAAGCGGGATATTTATAGCCTTCCTTGATAAATGTTCTAGCCAACACAAAAACAATTTTTCACTTCTCAGCAGTATTCGCGCTAATCTCAGTATACCTGAGATTAGCGCGTTCAAACCAACTCTTCATTCTTCTTTTATATGTTTATAGATTACCTGATCAATATGCCCCCTAATGAGTTTCTCAGCTAGCGCCTTCATCACGAGAAGTTCAACTTCGTCCAGTGGCACTTTCGCTTCGCGAGCGATTTCGGCAAACGTCAGCTTGCGTTGGGACGACGTGCGGTTGAACGCCATCTAGAAATCAATGACTTCATTATCTTTAACAATTCCCACACCTGAGACTCTGCCATCCAACGATGGGCCGCTGTACCTTGCTGGACAAATGTCGGTAGGGACATGTGTAGAACTCTTTATATTGTTATAATAGGGTATATATCTATATATAATAGATAAGTCATAAACTTTAAGCTACCAAACAAATGATTGATCAGAGTCGTAAAGTATGTAAGTAAAAGTATTATCATAAATCCAAATATGATTTTCAAACTACTATAGCGTATTCTATTATACTTCTATACTATCTTGGAAAAAGACCACATGAAATATTGTCGATTTTAAACGTTACACAAGTAATGATGCCCTTTTATAGAATGTAGTGGTCTCCACAGATGACACAGCGTTAAAGAAATATTCATTATATATGGACTGAACGACCTTAACATTCAAAATCACTGTAACACCTTTTTTTTGGTCATTATTATTTTACTCGCCATTTGTAACGCTTATCAACGATCGTGCATGAGTGAAACTTCTATCTTTTATTGTCGTTGACTTTACTAATATCCTATACTAGGGCAAATGTAAAACTAATATTCAGTTTTAGGATTTTTATTAACTAAAGCATGAAATTGTTTGTTTCACTAAGTGAATTAAAGGTAGTTCATTAGTTTAATATATAAACAAGCGTCACAAAAGTGTTTTAGTGTGAATGAATGTAAACTTTGTGAGAAAATAACTTTTTTCATGTAAATTGAGTGTTTGTTTACGAAAAATGCCAAGTAAGAAAAAATACGCTATATGTATTTTAATTATTTAGTTGCGTACCTCCATTAAGCATAAAATTGCAATTTTTTGTCTAAGTTGACGATCAGCCCGGTGCAGTTCTTGGTATGGTGATTGTGCTCTGAAAAAAAATAAGATCTTTTAGTTTTAGACGATGACTATACATTTTTTTAAGTATAAATAATGTGTTTTAAAGTCCTTTGTTTATAAAAATGGATTCCCAAACAAACGTAATATAAATATACAATATAATAACTCTTACCTAATCTTCTCAAAAGCGACAACATCTCCGGAAGCCACTGCTTTGACGAGCTCACACGCCCAGGCGTCAGGTGTACCTTCTAACGACTCCAGAATGGGATGAGCTAACTGGAACAAGAGATAAAATGTATGATTAAAAATAATGATATTATTTTTATGTACATAAAATATAACCTTTAATGGGTAACATAAGTGGGTATACTAATAATAGATTTTCCTTTATTTGTCAATATTTATAGAATATTAGAGGACTATAAATTCAGCTTTATATGGAAAAAGGATGTTTTAAATAAATAAAGTAACTTTTAGAAATATTGACCATTGATTGATAAACTTTTTACTTTATATTATGTATCATGCTGAGTTATTAGTGGAGTTTACATTAAGGCAGATAAAATACCCGAGCCATATAAAACCCAACAAGATGCCCTGTCGACTTATTTTTGCTTTATTGTGAAGGTCTTTACTTACGAGTTCTCCTAATTCATACACATCAGGAGCGAGAACTGCAGCCAGAGCTAGGCGTAATGCGCATGCGCGCCGCTCGCTCTCATCTAACTGAGCTCCGCCGCCGGCGCAACCAAGGTAACGAAGTGCCGCGCGGTAGTAACGGCCCATTGGCCCACGTACCCTTGAAACAATTTAATATTATTAAAATATTTGCTTGAATAAATTCTGTATATATATAAATAAGTATATCTTCTTCTGTATGTATATAAACTAAAATCTTTTTTCAAAAGAAATAAAAATAAAGATCTAAATATGACACTGGGATTCGAGATTGAGTGGTGTTGATCACCGCAACATTTAAATTGGTATTTATAAATCTGGTGCTATGTCAGTGGAAACTAAATATACAGGATAACTTCTATGTAATAATAATTATTGGATCATTTACGTGACTTATTTATTTAGACTAATCATTGATTCAAATCCTATAAAATTAACACATACCTGTAATATTCAGACGCTAGTTTGTAAAATCTACCATGCACAGGTGTGACTCCATCTGCATCCTCGAGGGTACCTTCAAGTTGTTCTATTATCTTCTCGGTGGAATCTAAGTCATTAAGGTGTTCTAGGTAAATCTGGCCCTGCAGTACCTGAAATTTATAATGTAGATGATAAATTTAATTTTATATGTAGACTGATACTGATATAGCTGTTATAAAACTAAAACTATTTTAAGTTAAAGCCTATCAGTAAAATCTCCTAAAAATATTTTTTCTTGCCTGGTTAGGTGTCTCCAGCCGCATGGTAATTTATACCCTTCCTTTTTAAATAAAACACTTTGCTTTGCAGCAGCTGTGGTGGAAGAGAGACTTTTCCAGATAGTTAAATAGATTAGGTATCTATGATGTATAAAATACATATGTATACAAAAAACTTACTTTGCAGAGTGCCAAAGCTTCATCATTCATCTTCACCTTAGCTTCCACCTTCTCAAGGAAGGCAACAGCATCTTTCTTATTGGTGTACTGGTTTACTACATGGACAATTATTTCAACCAGCGAAAGTGGGTTTATTCTGCATTTGATAATTTTGAGGATTAGTATAACAATGGGTAATATCTTCTGGAGTTTATGCGTTAGAGATAGAAGGCATTAAACTATTTATATTTTATAGATAATACAATTAATATAGAAAGAGGGTAACAGTAAATTACTATGAAATTAACTGAAGACTGTAAATAAATATTCAATAGAACTTACTTGTTTTCAAATGTAGTGATGAAGTTATTGTATAACTGTATCAAATTGTCGTTTGCCTGAAGAGAAGGATGAATAACCAAGTCTTGAACTTTCAATGTTAACTGGTGCCATAGTCTGAAAACAAAGCACAAGTTGTAGTAGCAGTTTTAAGTTAAACATATATGAAATATTAAAGTGACTTACTTCTTATTGTAAAGCTCCTCTAGCTTCGCCCAGTCTGCGGCCAAATCTGGGTCCGAAGCCTGTTTCTTTGATAGAAAATCATTAACATCGATCACTGCAAACTTTACCGAAGCCATGTTTCAAAATTGTTTCGCGTAATCGTGTGAAGTGAGTAACATTTGAATACGCTATCAATGTCGAAGTGACAACTGTTAGTTTAAAAATCATAATCATCGAGCACAGATTATATCCATACGCAATAATACTAACAGCGACATCTCTTGATAATTTTGTGTATAATAAATTTGTAGTTCCCATGATTTGTGCTACTTACTAAAAGATGGCAGTAGCAATCGATCAAGATGTAGAATCGACTGTATGTCAATATTTTAATTGTTTATTTTTTACACTGTAAGTTTCGTAACATAATGTACACATTTATTTATATTTAAATAAAATGTAGAAAAACTTTGTCTCAACCTAAATAAAAAATGCTTGGTCTTAAAGATATTTCTTATCATAAAGCATTGTCTGGATTTATAATTTTATTGGGGGGGTTAAGCAAACCTGCAAAGTTTTAGAACAAAAAAGTTCATTAAACATATGTATTTTCAATTAAAAATTTCAAAAAGTATTACGAAAATTACACAAATGTCTTTAAAGCCTCTTGAGTTAACTTACTCTCTCCAATCTACTGAAATAACTATACTTCTCCTTAACTAATATTTATATGTTTCATTATATTTTACATAAAAACTAAAATATCCCACTTCAGGACATCCATTACGTGAAGTGCAGACAGTTAATAACCCATTTTAAAATCGATAAAACGAAACCTGTACTGTAAATTAAACGTGATTTTTATACAGAAAACATACAAGATCATAAAACATAAGTACGTACAGGCTTATTCATGGTCCTACTTAAATGTGATGACACGACGTTAAAAATGTCTAGAAAAGTGTGTCATAGACTAATTATATATTACCCTAATTACGTAATAGTCTAGGCTAAAATGCTTATAAAACCATGATAGAGCTTATAATCTTGTTTGATGGTTGGGTCACGCGGTTTATACAGACACAGACACAGACATTGCTTATGACATTTGAGTTATTAAAGGAAAACTGTAATCAAAGCTTTATATTTCCACCTATTGCAAAATGTAAACGAATGTTTTAGTAAAAGGACTCTTTAAATTTTTAACTAAGTAAGTAGGTATCGTACGTGCTTAGCTTTGCAACATTTAAACAATTAGGTATTTTATTATATTTTATTTATTTTGTAAAAAGTATATATTTTATTACTGGCAACTTAATTATTTTTTAATTAATATCACCAAATAAACCATTTATTTATTTATGTTACCTACTTTAAATTTTAACGAATACAAATTGTTCGAATTTTTTTGGCTATAATCATTATGAATTTCAAGAGTGTTATTTAAACATTTTTCTTGAGAATTCTATCCTGTGAAGTAACTATAAAAGAATACCTACGTAGGCATTAATTCAAAAACTTTATTGCAACCTGATTTTCGCCAAAAATTTTATATCTTTCTAAAATACAATACTAGTCTGTTCCCATATGGGTCTAGGTAAAATGAACACAGATTAAAAGCTAACATCTTTAATACCTATATATCCCAATTTAATTATAAGTAGTTAAGATTACTTAAAATTCAATGCGATGCCTAGAGGAAAAAAATCTAAAACTGATTGTTGTCTATAAAAATAAATTAATCACACAGACACGTTCACCTAAATATAATCTAACCTTAATTTAATTTTCGAAAGGTCATATTCAATAACATAAAAATTGACTATCTTTTAATTTTAATGAGATCTCACTGGGCAACATTTATGAACAGAATAAAAACTATGTGCTCGTAGAAGGATTAAAAATAGATTATTTTTTATTACTGGATCTTTGAAAATTAAAAATGGAACGTATTTTCGTAATAATGAAAGATGTTCGAAATTCAAAATTTATGATGGATTTTTTTATTTATTTTTTAATGTCACGTTTATGGCTTAATAATACAAGCGTGTTTTTTAATTTGGCACAGAATAGGCATACCTACATGGACGGAGGATGGTACATTTAGGCATAACACAGACCACGAGGTCGCCCGTACAAGGTGACTACCGCTCTTAAGCCAGCCATTTGGCAACTGCTATTCGTTCGGGCACCACAGTTACTGCACGTACCCACCATCCCCTACAACCCTTGCAACCCTCTCGCGTTACCCCAAATAAGGAAACGCTCATATTCAAATCGTTTACCGTCCCGCGGACGTCATTATTCCATTTTTGACTATTAATATTTCCGTTCGAACAGTGTGTTAGGTTGTAACGCGTTATTCGAGTGCCGTTATCAAAGGTCTATCCCTATTATCGTTCGCGAAATATTATCGAAAAACAGTTGAAGCCGCTATTTTAGTCGCGGAGCGCGCGCGCTGACCAAACCGCGAGAGCGTAGGCCTAAACGCACGGCAATAGCGCGAAAACGCGAAATTTTTGCACAATTTTCGCGTCCATATTTCCAATAAGATTCCAATAGGCCTAAATGGATGAATGCGGTTTTTTCAAGAACGGACGGCGTATTTCGTGTTTGTTCGTATTTTTCGTGAAGAAACTGGAAAAAAATCGTGTTTTTAGACGATTTTGTGACGTGTTAGTGTGTCGGACGGAACTGTTCGGGAAAGTGAACTGTCGAAAAAAAGTGTTTGGATTTTCTTTGGATACATTATCCAACTTGGTATGTAAATCTCTTTATTTATATAGATTAAGAATAATTTTGGTAAGATAAGCCTAGTTAGGGAAATAATTATGACTCTGCGCCATCACAAAACGATTGCCTGATTTTCGCAACAAAACGTATTGTTTTTCGTGATTCAGCCTGATTTCAATATTGCCTCGCTTAAATATAACTAATAAAATATCAAATCGGCCTGAAAATACGTATATACGTACTTAACTGTAGTCTTAGTATCCTAAAATTAAGATGCCGTTCGCCTATAATTTTTAGGACATTGAAAAATATATTCAAACCATATTGTGACCCTACTTTTTAATTTCTAGGCTAAATGTTATTTTTATATGATTATATAACTTTCTAATTATACCTATAATCATGGAGATAAAATGTACTCAAAGCTTAAAGATACCTACTGTTAAAATGTATGAGTGTTAAAAAAAGTACCTACTGTGTTTACATTTTGTTTTATCTATGCAATCATAAACCGATAAATAATGTTAAAATACATCTTAAATAAAAATATTACATCTATGTAAGGTAAAGCTATTATAGGCCTAAAATTATTTAATGTTAAAAACGATCGGCTCAAATAATTTTATAAAATGCTTACTGTCTATGTAATCTGAAAAGACTAGAAACAGTACTTAGTGTCTATCGCAAAATTTATTTTTTAACTAAAATATAATGTATACTTTAAAAAGCCCTTAAAAATATTACTAAAGATTCAATGACTAACGTAAATATAGTTTATTTAAAAGCTTGAACCAATTTTTATAGAGCTTTACAGAAAAAGTTTAACTCAACGTACTTAGGTCCCAAATTAACAGAAAATTTAACAAAAAAAAAAGATATGTACAAAAGCGGTAACTAAAAGGTCACATCGATCTCTTGGCGAATTCTCTATTTCTGATTATGAATAAAAGTTAACGATTACAAGAATAAAAATAGAATTATCTTTATTCTAATCAGGGTTTTACATGTGAATTTGTGACTATAATATTTTTTGCCTCGTTGGTCTAAAGGTAGCAATGGCTCGTAATCAACGGGACGTGGGTTCGATGCCCACTGCGTCCAACGTGTTTTCCACAGATGAAAAAGCCGTGAAGCTAAATCGCGTTTCGGTTTCAGAATGTGGATTTCCGAATATCCAAAGCCAAAGGTATATCACCTACCACCAAGTGAATTATAAAAAAAATATGTATTGACTTATACTTCTTCCGTTCCTTCTTGTACAGAGTTCGTAACGTCTTCCAGATCTCATCGGCCATTTTTCTCATGCCCAACTCTATTTTTCTTTTCTCTTCTCTAGAACAGTTTATTTTTGTCTTGTAAGAAACATTTTCTTATTCCACTGTTCATGAATTAAATGTATAAAAATGTAATACTCTATTACGAATCAAAAATTAACGATTTTTTGTGATATTGATCAAAAGTATATTTTCAGTCCTATATCACTATATCCTATATATACCTACATATACTATAAGTTATAGTATGATAATATCAATTTTGGCCTATGTGTCTATTGAAGAAAAAATAAAGAAAATCCCATACACCCTGAAAATTACACACTTAATAAATAAAAAAGTATTTAAATAAAACATTTTAATGGTTTAAAACGCGATATATTAGTTAAACTTATTTGAAAATGATTTTTAAATTCGTCTAACAGTCTCCCTGTGACCACGGCTGCTGCAAAGCATCCGAAACGTCGGGCCGAAGTTAAAAATAATTTTCAAATAAGTTTAACTAATATATCGCGTTTTAAACTGTTAAAGTGTTTTATTTAAATGTGTACTACTCGCGTAAACTATAGACAGTATTTAATAAAAAAGTATTCAAAATTAAGTCTTACCTTTATTATTTAAAATGACATTTAAAATGTTACTTACACATTATAGGTAAGTAAGTAAGTAAGCACTTAATTGTTCCTACGACATTTCAACATAGTTTTTAACACCCTATCCGAATAAACATAAATATTATTCAAACAGTTTAATATATCCAAAGCTTACTTTGATAGTGACAATTTCAATCATTTATTATAATAGATAAGTTTTTAATGAATTTATTACATATTAATAATTAAATCTCCATTATAATTATTACTTGTTATTTAACAAATATGGAGCTGAAATTAAAAAAATATATATATTTAGATTTTAAAAAATGATACAAACGGGACTCGAATCCACAAACAATAGTGTACGAAGTCGTTCTAAGTTGCAAAATCATTACGAAACACTAACAAGTAATAACGTTCCTTGTGTAATTTGAACAGTAGAGGTCATTTTCAGTTGTAGATAACTGTTGCTAAGTGAGTATTTAGTACAAGCACAGATCTGCGTCCGATCTATTTGATTGGTTATTTACATTT